AAAAAAAAAAAAAAACCAACAAAAAAAAGAAGTAGCCATGTTAGGTCAAATGCTGTGTTTTTTTCAACTTGTGATAAAATACACATAACAAAAATTTACCATCTTAACCATTTTAAGTGCACAGGTCAGTGGCATTAACTATTAATTCACATTGCTGGGCCAGCCTTATTACCATTCCTCCACATAGGAGAGCGTGCTTGCTTCTAGAATGCTTGTCAAATGCCTAGCACTTTGCCAGCATTTCACATCTCTTTTTGCCTCAGAAAGCAGAGATTCGGTCCTCAGTAAACACTGACTTCCCACGCCCTTTCCCCACACCCTCTAGCAACCACCATCCTAATTTTTGTTTCTATAAATTTGACTTCTGGGTATCTCATATAAGTGGAATCTTACAGTATTTGTTTTTCTGTGACTGACTCACTTCACTTAGGGTAATTTCTTCAAGTTTAATCCCTGTTCTAGCACAGGTCAGAATTCTCTTCCTTTTTTAAGGCTGTATACTATTCCACTTGCATAGTATGTACCTTTTGACTGTTGTGAATAGTGCTACTATGACCATGGATGTACAGATATCTCCCCGAGACCCGGCTGTCTGTTGTTTTGGTATCTATCCAGAAGCGAAATTGCTGCATCATATGGTGATTCTGTGTTTAATGTTTTGAGGGACTGCCATGCAGTTTTCCACGGCAGTGGCACCATTTTATGACCAGCAGTGCTCGAGGGCTCCAGTTCTCCCCATCCTTGCCAACACATGTAATTGTCTGTTTTTTCATAGTAGCCATCCTAATGAGTGTGATGTGGGATGTGCATATTTTTAAGGCTTGGAAATTGATTGCTGAACTATACAGCAGAAAAGTAATACTTGGCACTTTTACCAACAATGGACAGAGCGCTGTTTCCATCATCCCTTCCCTGCTGATTTTTTTCAAATTCTGCTCGGTTATCCCTTCCTGGCCAGGCAGGTGTTCTTGCTTGTGGCCACACTTCTCTCCCTGGGGCCTGAGCCTGCCCTTCTGTTCCTGAGTAGTTCACTGTGATGCTGTCTGCTCTGGCTGTGGAGTGCTGTGCACCACGCAGCCTGAGGGTGACCTGTACTGCCTCGGCCAAACCCTCCACCCCACGGAGACACAGCTCCCTCACCTCAGCTGCGTGCCTACCTTGTAGGGCAGTGGTGACGATTTCCCGAGATGCTCAGGACTTAGCCCCTCGTAAGCACAAGAGCTGTTCTCGGTGGCATTCTGATCATACCCACAGATCAGGCCTCAGCATGCCTCTGTGTCCTCCCGGCTGGCCACGTGCTACGGATGTCCCTATGCACCTCATGAGTCAGCAGCAGAAGGACCTTCACGGGGGGTAATGACGGGATGAGATAAGGCTCAAAGGAGGATGGGGCTGCACAGAGACGTTTCGGGAATGTGAGGCAGGTCACCCACCACCTATGAGTCTTGTGGTAGTGGAGGAGTGGTGGTGACTGTCATTGTGACGCCCACTTTAGAGACAGGAAACTGAGACTCAGAGAGGGGGAGTCCAGGCCCCACAGCATGCAGCCAGGGAAGGGCCGGGCGGGGGCTTTGGTTTTCACCCAGCTCACCCCACTGCCTGCCTCTTCACCCAGCCATCATGGAATGTGTCTGCACATCTTCTCTGCTCTTCTGGGGGCCTATGTCAGGGAGCTGCCTGGAGGCAGGATGTGCACGTGACCCTAGAACACTGTCCCTCAGACAGGCCGGCCCAGGCAGAGACAAAACAGGGACCTGCTCCCCATTGATGTCACGACCAAATGCAGGGGATTTGCCCAGGCAGCCGGTAGCCATGAATGCGGAGCAGGCTTCGGGCCCTGCTGCTCCTTCTTGCTAATCCCTCCCAAATCCAATCAGAGCTGTTTCCCTCCATGAAATCAACTGGACACAGTGCATACTGGCCGGGCCTCTGCCAGCGCACAGTGTATCTTTTTGCTGTTTAAAGAACCAGGTTTCAAATGGTCTTAATAAAATGTTTATGTATATCATGCAGGGTGCAAATAAATATTTTAATATAATTGGAAGAATGCAGAGAATTGTAAAAAGTTATGGAAGTTTTACTTCTGATTGGCCAAGACTCAATAAACCCGGTTTGATGTACTCTAACTTACAGGCGTGCAAAGCCGACTCTGGCATGGGAGAGGCTGTTAACTTTGTAATGTTGTTTAAACGCTGACAAATGAACTGCTTGGGCGGTGCCTTCAGCGCTGAGAAAGGAACTGTTGGGGCTGGAGGACCGGCCTGTCCCCAGCTTTCTCCCTTCCTCCCGTGCTGGGGGAGCAGGTTAAGGGTGGGAGGACTGTGCATTGGGGCCACTGCTCCCCATCGGGTGAGGGGAGGGCACAAAGGGGACCCGTGGCTTCTTCTTTACTGTTGTCCCTAATTATGGTCTTTCTCATTAAAATAACAAGGACCATGTCTGCTAGAAACGCTGGCACATGTTTTTACTTTTCTGGGCCAATGGAAACCACATGTAGAATCCATTTCTTCCTTTTTTCCCTCCGAAATGCAAATGGAAGAGCTGGTCCAGGGGGTCCCTTCCTTGCCCAGCCCTGAACAGAGGCTTGGGGAAGCCCCCTACTCCCATGCCAAGACGTGACTCGAGCTTCTCCAGGCGCTCTGCGCCAGCCCTAGCAGGGAGTGCGGCCCCGCGCACATGGCCGCTGCCCCCGGGTCTCCCTCTGCTGCTGGTGCTGTGTGCTCCCATGGCAGGCATAACCCAAGCAGAGCAGAGTGGTTATTTATAAACCCCCTGAATGCCAGAGCGCCGGGAACAATCCACCCCCCGTTTGCAGGAACATACTTTCAGCATAACTCACCACTTTGAAGATGGGTCCAAACTTTTGTTCACATTTACTGACAGGAAGTTGCTTTTCAAAGCCCAAGCCAGCAGCAGGCCCCGGGCCAAGATGCTCCGCCACCTTCTCAAGCTGGCGCGGCTCTGAGGGCCATAAATTGTGTGGGCCTCCCGCCCACCTCTCTCTTCCCCGTTTCCTCTAAAATTTGCCCAGAGGTTGAACATGACTTGTTCCCTTTGTAAAATTTCTTGCTTCTTAAACCTTTTCTTTTTTTAAGGGAAAGTCACCTACTGGAAGTGTTACAAGGTTCTTTTCCTCTCTGAAATTCTTCAAAACCTCTCACGGTGCTCTTGAAGGTCCTCTTTCTGGCATGAGCTGCTCTGAGCGTTCCTTACTGCACGAACCGTCTTGGCCAAGGGTCCTCCTCCTCGACGCTGACTGGAGCCTGGAAGCAAGAATGTCCTCTGGGGCTCTAAGAGCTCTGCCTCTTGCAGACCTCTCTTCCCTCAACTGGGAATCAGGAATTCTAGGGCAGTTTGTCCCAAGGCCTGGAGGGGCCCTCAGGCAGGAGGCTTGCTGATGTGGGGTCTCCTGTGGCTTTCTCATTCTCTCCTCACCCCATGCGTTCTCCCCTGGGGCCGCCCTGGGTTTTCATGACTTAACCATGTAATCCTCCCGCTCATCCACTAATGTTCCAAAACCACCCCACTCCTAGCGGGACCCCTCTGTTCCCATTTAAATAGACTCTTCTCCCTACAGCCCTGAGCTCCTCCAGTTACCCCAGCCAGGGACCTGGGAGTCACCCCAGACCCCTCCAGCTTCCTGCTCCTGGTTGGGCACCAAGTCCTCAGTGTGTCTGGACCAAGTTCCTGCTCCCTGCCCCCTTGACACTGCCTGGGTTCAGGCCCTGCTCCGTTTCAGGGTCATTCCCAGACCCTGGCAGGCCATCTTCGCTGTGTCTCAGCTGTCCTTTCTGGAAATCAGCGCAATGTCAGTGCCCACCCTGCTGGCTGTAAATCGGCGCAATGCCAGTGCCCACCCTGCTGGGTGTAAATCAGCGCAATGTCAGTGTCAGTGCCCACCCTGCTGGGTGTAAATCGGCACAATGTCAGTGTCCGTGCCCACCCTGCTGGGTGTAAATCGGCGCAATGTCAGTGTCAGTGCCCACCCTGCTGGCTGTAAATCGGCGCAATGCCAGTGCCCACCCTGCTGGCTGTAAATCGGTGCAACGCCAGTGCCCACCCTGCTGGGTGTAAATCGGCGCAATGTCAGTGCCCACCCTGCTGGGTGTCAATCGGTGCAATGTCAGTGCCCACCCTGCTGGCTGTAAATCGGCGCAATGCCAGTGCCCACCCTGCTGGGTGTAAATTGGCGCAATATCAGTGTCAGTGCCCACCCTGCTGGCTGTAAATCGGCGCAATGTCAGTGCCCACCCTGCTGGCTGTAAATCAGCGCAATGTCAGTGCCCACCCTGCTGGGTGGGGATGAGCATTTCATGGCTCATGTTTGCAAAGCACCAAGGACGGCTCCAGGCACCTAAGTGCCACAGGTTGTCCTGTTGCCCCTTTTCTTGGGTCTCTGGGTCACCCTCTCACTCTGAGCCGGTCAGTTCCTTACACAGCCATCAAGAGGACCGTAGAACAATGCACAGCATGCTCAGCCATGTGCTCTCGAACCCTGTGTCCACTCTCACTTCCTCGAGGGATTCCCCATCCCTGGCTCTGCCTGTCTGCCTCAGGGCCCCTCTCCTGTGCCCTGCTGTGCCCACAGCTCCAGCCTTTGGAGCTGGCCTTGTTCCTTTCCTTTTTTTTTTCCCTGGCCATTCTGTCCCTCTCCTTTCCTGTGAATCCCTCTCGAAGGTGTTCCTGACCTTCCACGGTCCCCTCTACCCTGTCCTGGCTCAGAGGCCCCTGCCCACCCCACACAGGTATGCTGTGTACTGTGCCAGGAAAGCTGCCATTCTTTCTCATGCTCTCTGTTTTCTTGTGTTTGGAGACAGGGCTGTGCCTCAGGTGTCTCTGGGCCCAGGGTGCCCAGCACAGAGTATGGCCGTAGTAAATAAATGCTCATCTAAAACGTGAATGCCAAAGACCAGGAGATGGACCATGGCGCACGTGTGAGTTGGGGACCCCATGATGTCACCTCCTGGAGTTTTCTAGAGTTAGGACCCCCATGATGTCACCTCCTGGAGTTTTCTAATTCTGTCTAGTGATGGGTCAATCCCAGTTTTTGGTTTTCAACCTTGACAAGAGCCCAAACACCAAAATGAACTGTCTGTGTACTGATATCATTTGAAACTTTCAAACCCAGGAAGCATTGGAAGCTCACACTTTTACTGGAACTGGGGAGAAGGGAGAGGGAAATGATGGAAAAAGGTTAATGAGTCCATTTTGTCTTGGAAGAAATAGGAAACGCAGCAGCCCTGGAGGAGCCACAGGGGCCCAGGTACAGAAGAGAGTGCGCCAGGCTTGGCTCTGCGGGGTGCTTCTCCGGGCATCTGCCCGGGAGTCCTGACGTCCTTGCTGCTGGAGAAGAGGGCTTGCTCTGGAGCTGGTGGCATTGGAGCAGTGAGGCGAGATTGCAGGCACTAGGCATGGCCAGAGCTGGGAGGGCTTTGTGCATTTGTTTTCAAATAAAAGCAGTAAGACAAAAGGCTCTGGGCTGTTCAGAGCCTCCCACCACGAGTCCCCTCGGCTGGGAAAGGACTAGCTGCCGGAGGCCACGGACACTAGCCCAACCTGGCCGAGGCCTCACTACCCACCTGTGTTTGGCTTTGTTTGTGTGGGAAGTGGCGGTTGGACCCGGTGGTCTCTGGTGCTTTGTGGGGGTGCCTCACCAGCTGCAGGGCAGGGCTCCAGGCCGCAGAGCCTGCGATCTCCCCAGGAATGCTGCAGGCATGGGCTTCCAGGGATGCTGGTGAGCAGAGCCCGGGGTTGGCCTCTTGGGGCAGGCCTGGTGTCTGTGAGCCCTGAGTGGCAAGGACGTGAGCCGGCCCTGCACCCCTCTGCTCTCCTGTCCCCGATGTCCCCCACCCACTTCCCGCTGGGGGTCTGGAGGCTCCGCAGGGGGCTGACGGCCTCCCGGGGACCCCTCCTGCCTTCTCACACCAGGGGCTTCTCTGCTCCTCTTTCCTGGCGCGCAGCGTCCTGCTTTCTGGTCGCTTTCATCGCGTTGGGGGGTGTTCCCTTCACATTCTCAGGTGGAAGTGTTTAAGGCCGGTCCCACAGCCACCCCTCTGGATCTCCCCACCCCAGCGCGGTGCCCCCTGCAAATGGGGCCCACATGTACAGCCAGGCAGGATGAGACAGGCCCCGCCTGCCAAGAATGTGGCGCGGCCTCCCTGGCGCGGGGCGTGGAAGGGAGCCGTGGGCGCAGGGCAGCGTCCTCTGCCTCCTCGGAGTGGGAGACTCCACGGGCCGCCAGATGCTGGGAGGGCACTGGGAAGCCGGAGCTGGGAGGGGAATGTGGGTGGGGCGGGGGATCCCTGCGGGGGCGTCCTGTCCTGTCCCGGGGGCTGCAGGAGGGGTCCCACCACAGTGGTCTCACCCGCGCCCAAATAGAGGTGGTGTCACCCAGGGCTTGCTGGGGAACATGGAGCTTGGGCTCCCTGGGACACCACGGAAGGCCCACGAGCCTCAGTCCTTAGCCAGGCTGGGCACCGCCTTTCCTTCCTCACTCCTGCTTGGCTTTCTCTTGAGATGGGTTTAGAAATGTGCAGCCTTGAGAACGCTTCATGTTCACTTCCCTTTGGCCTCATGACAACCGCAGAGATTGAGTGCGCCCCCCACGCTGGAGCCTCGGCGGTTAAAGTGGTCCCTGAGTGGCGATGCCGGGTGGGCCTGGGGCCCGCCTGGTCCCCTGTGTGGTTCCTCGCTTACGTCCCTCTCCTCAGTGCCATGGGGTCGGGCTGTGCCTTGTCCGCCTCACAGACCTTTTTTTAAATTAATGGTTCCAGATTTGGGGGCAGGAGGTGGTGATTTGGGTGTGAAAATCCGCTGAGCTAGGATTGAACATGATGGGGCTGGAGACTCTCAAATGGGACGGTGGCTGGTCCCAGCTCAGGCCCCAGGACAGAGCCCGGCCCACACCTGCCCCCAGCACCCAGCACTGAGCCCCGTGCCCCGCTCAGGACCCCCAGAGCTTACCCCATGGAGGGTGCGAAGACCGTGAACTAGCGTGCAAAGGAATAGGGAGCAGTTCCGTTCAAACAGAGAGCAGGTGTGGGGGCTCCCTGTCCTCCACGCGGCCGCGGAGGAGGCTGCACAGCGCGTGTTCTGGCCACTCCCTGCCCCTCCCTCGGGTCTGCCTGCCCATCTCTAACATGTTATACTCACACCCATTGCTCCTGCATCGTGTCCCAGCACCCAAGGAAAACCAGCCGGTTCTAGGGGCCTCCTGGATAAGGCCCACGTGGTTCCTGCCCACGTGGCGCTGCAGATGTGCAGCTCTGTACCCAGCGCGCCCGTCCCTGCCTGCCCTTGGTCTGACTTCTGCTTCTGGGCTTCTGCTCCTCCTTCGGTTCTTTCCCTGTGTGCCGCCCTGGTTGGTCTCTGAGAGGAGCCCCTGCCCCTGGTCCAGCGCCCGAGGAGGCTGGCAGCCCACGCTTTCCCGCAGCTCACTTCCTGTCTGTGGGCTGAGACTTCCAGACCTTCATTGGGAAGCCTGCGTTTTGAAGCTGGCGTTAGCCCTTTCTCCTCGAGAAGCAATTTCAGTCCGTGCATCACTCCAAATGGGTTTGGTAACTCCGAGTTTATGGTACAATGAAAATCACTCTTGCCAAGACAGCAAAGGCAGATGAAAGGCGGGGTGAGTCACACAGGCTCTCCATGTCCCTGGCAGCAGCCTTTGACACAGGAGCCAGCCACAGATAGTGCTGGACCCCAGCATGTGGCCCCAGACTCTGCAAAGTCGTTTCCTCAGGCCTCACCTTCTAGGACCCATCTCCCGATGCCTGGACATCTCATTGTTCTTTTCTGGTTTACGTCCCTGCTCTGGGGAATCTACCCTTGGCTAGCATCACTCAGAAATTGCACAACTACCATTTCAAGACAAAGTTTTAAGAGCTGTTTAATTTAACTTTTAATGTTGCTTAAGCCCCTATAGGTAGTGTCTGAGACAGTGTAGCAGCAGGAGAGCAAATTCTGGCACCTACCCTAGCAAGAATTTATGAACAGTGTTTTCTGCTAAAAATAGTAACGTTCTAGTTCTGCTGACTACAGAACATTGACCAGGGCAAGCCCCTTGCTTAATCTTCTGTCTCACTTCTTTTCGTTTGTAAGAGGTGGACGCTGAACTTTCATAAGTGGCATGAAAATGCTCTTTGAGCCAGGCGTGGTGGCTCACGCCTATAATCCCAGCACTTTGGGAGGCCGAGGCGGGTGGATCACGAGGTCAAGATATCAAGACCATCCTGGTCAACATGGTGAAACCTCATCTCTACTAAAAATACAAAAAATCAGCTGGGCATGGTGGCGCGTGCCTGTAATCCCAGCTACTCAGGAGGCTGAGGCAGGAGAATTGCCTGAACCCAGGAGGCAGAGTTTGTGGTGAGCCGATATCGCGCCATTGCACTCCAGCCTGGGTAACAAGAGCGAAACTCCGTCTCAAAAAAAAAAAAAAAGAAAAGAAAATGCTCTTTGAGCTCTAAAAATACTGGCTGATTTACAAGTGCTTGTTTTGACCAAGGTATTGGAAAGAACTTTTGTTAGAAGAAGTGAGTGCTTCCACAGGCACTAACCTCTCTGCTGTTCCAAAAACGCTCCAGGGGGCAAATTCTCGCACTGTGAAAGATCTGAGAGTCCATTACCGGGCTAGCTGCGCTGTTTCCTCATGGTCGTTTTTGGCATCTCAGATGACCATTGACAGGCATAAAGAGGGGGTGTCTCCCATCTACCCATCTATTTTTCAGGAATTAAAAACTATAGAAAATCTCAGTGGCAAGACTGAGGCATAGGAGCCGAGGCATGGGATGAGAAATGTTCCCTGCAATGTAGGAGGCCCTTTCCTGAGTCGCACATTTTCATGAATAAACTAGGGATGAGTTAAGATGGATATTAGAGCTGGATTTACAATGTATGGAACAGTTTATTGTAAATGTATCTTTTAAGCCTAAGTTCTGGCCGGGCTCAGTGGCTCATGCCTGTAATCCCAGCACTTTGGGAGGCTGAGGTGGGAGATTACCTGAGGTCAGGAGTTCAAGAGCAGCCTGGCCAACATAGCGAAACCTTGTCTATACTAAAAATACAAAAATTAGCTGGGCATGATGGCAGGCACTCATATTCCCAGTTGCTTAGAAGGCTGAGGCAGGAGAATCACTTGAACCCAGGAGGCGGAGGTTGCAGTGAGCTGAGATGCTACCGCACTCCAGCCTGGGTGACAGAGTGAGACTGTGTCTCAAAAAGAAAAAACAACACCTCAGTTTTTAGCAATCTGATGAACCAGATACTCCAAGAAACGTCTTGACATAAAATTTCTAGGAATGTTGACTAAAAGACAGCAGGGATAATAAACATTACTCATGAGAAGATAAGGGAAATCCCCTGTAGAGGCCCAAACCAAAAAGTAAACGATCCAGACATGTATGATAACTGGTGCTGGGGCTACGCTGGGGGAAGGCAGGGGATGGCAAAGGTGGGGTTGAGGTTACTTCGTATGTCTTTTTAACTAATGAATTTTTGGATTTTAATGGCCATGCAGAAATGGGTAATGAATCTTTGAGCCCATAAGAGGCTGGAAATTAGAACTGAGATTCCTACACAAGAGTTGTTCCCTTCCTTTGAAGAATTACACTTTCAATGAAAAGGTGATTAGAAAAACAATCCAGCCATTGGCAGAGGGAAATCACAGAAAGCCTGTCAACCTTGGCCTCATTCAGAGCAGTAAAAAATGGTTGTCTTTGAGAATTTGTATGTAGTGGCTGTCCTCAGGTGTATTTGGGGTATGAATTTATACTATCTGAGTGGCATGGAGCCCCCAGTCTGAGAAGTGAGACAAAATTAACCCTGGAGCACCTGGCAGGAGAAAACACAAAATCTCTGTGGATGTACACAAATAATTCCTACAGAAAAACCTCAATGAAGACGAGCTCGCAGTCCAGCAGTGCCAATCTAAGGGAGAAAACTAAACCCCGAGCAGGTTCAAAGATGTAACAAACAGTAGGATTAAATTCCTAAGAGCTTCAGGCAAAAATATTATCAAAATAGAGATTTTGAACTAGAATCAGAGACACAGTGAAAAATTAAAAAAAATGAGAAAACAAGTTGCCACCAAATGCAGACCAAAGACAGAGAAGATTTAAAAAGAACAAAAGGAAATGTATAGGCATAAAAAAAAATATAGTGACTGAAATTTAACTAAACCTTTAAGGGTTGGGTTAAAAAGCAAATTAGACATAATTAAAAAGAGAATTAGTTAAGTGGAAAATCACTGTGAGCACATGGAAATAAAGAGATAAAAAATTTGGAAGCAGGATTAATAGATATGGAGGATAGGACAAGAAGGTCCGATAATAGCACAACAGAAGTTTGGATGGAGAGAAAGGAGAGAATGAGAGTGAGCCAATACTGAAAGAGATGGTGACTGAGAATTCTCAAAATTGAGAACAGTCCTGAGCTCTCAGATTCAAGGACAATGTTAGGATAGATAAAAGGAAATGCATCCCTGGATAGATTAGAGTAAGCTGTATAAGAATGCCAAGTACAAAGATAAGACTTTCATAGTAGCCGGAAATATAGGATGACCTGTGAAGAAATGACAGTTAATTTGGCCACCACTTCTCAATGATCACCAAAGGACAGTGAAATTCTATCTGTGAAGTGTTGAGAGAAAATAGAATTTTCTACCTAACGAAACTGTCCATACCAGAATTAGGGAGAAAGGACGAAAAACAAAGCATTAGAGAATGTATAACTAACAGAGTGTCACCTAAAGAGTTTCCAGGAATGCACTTTATCAAGAAGAAAACTGCATCCGGAATGAAGAAGCGAACTGAACGCAGAATGGCGAGCAAGTAAATCAGTAAATGTGGGTAAACTGGAACAGGATTGACAATGGATGGCAATAATAATAGCAAGGACATATCACTTGTATAAAACATGTAGGACCTGAAGTACTGGATTAAGTATCATGCAAGTTGGGAGGACAATGATCCAAGTAACCTAGTAACAGGTAAGGTGGGAGGAGAACAGTCTAGATTATCCAAAATCCTTGAATGATCTCATGAACAAATGAGCTAACTTGAGATCTTGGAATGCTGAGTACACATGTTACAATTTTAATCATGACTGTGGGGAGTTGGCAGGGGCGGGGGTAGTAAAAGTACAATTTGTAATTTTCAAAACAGTAAAGGAAAAAAAAAACAAACCTTTCTAATCCTATTGAATAAGGCAGCAAACATTTTCTGTAAATGGTCAGATAGTACATGTTTTGGCTTTGTGTGCCATATGGTCTCTATTGTAACTATTCAACTCTGCCATCTCAGTGCAAAAGCAGCCATGGAGAAAATTTAAACAAATGAGCATGGCAGTGCACTCCAATTCAGCTTAATTTATAAAAACAGCAAGTGAACTGGATTTGGCCTGAAGGCTATAACTTGCCAATCCCTGCTATAGAAGACAGGAAAGGAAGTAAAAAGCTAAAAAAATGGAAAGCACAAATTAAGATGGTGGAAGCAGTTCCAAATAGGTTAGTAACTACAAGAAATGTAAACAAATTGACTTTGCTGAAAAAAGCCAGAGACTGATGAGTAGATAAAGAAAAAAGTGACTTTATGTTTTTAGCAAGACCAATTCTTAATCAATATGGACAACAGAAAGGTGTAAAGGAAAAGTGGGGAAATAGATGTGTCAAGCGAACATTGATGAAAAGAAAGGTTATTAATACATTAAAACACAAAATAGGCCTTAAGGTAAAAAGGCATTAGCCATGACTAAAAGGATTATTATAAAATGGTTAAAAAAAAGAATTCACTAGGAGAAATTTATAAACTTATATACCCCTAAAAATATGGCCTCAAAATACATAAAGCAAAATTTGATAGAATTACAAGGAGATTTATAAGTCTACCCTTACAGTGTAATAAAGTATATAAATTTTTAAAATACAAATTAAGAAGTTATATTTAATGATATATAGAATATGATACCTAAAAATTAATAATACATATTCTTTTCAAGTACACATGGAACACTTTTAATAATCACGTATTAGGTCATAAAATAAGATTCAACAAATATTAACAAAAAGGGATGGTGCAGGCCATATTCTCTCTCCACTATATTAAACAAAGTTATGCATTTGGATGTTTTAAAGCATATTTATAAATGCTTTAAAGTCATAATCTAAAGAAGAAATCATAATAAAAATAAGACTATATTATGAGCTGAACGATAACAAAAATGCCATACATCCACATTTGTGGGATGCTGCTATGTTAATATTTAGAACAAACTTTAGCCCTAAATACATTTATTAGGAAAGAAGAAAGACTGGATACTGTGAATCTAATAGAAATTAAAAGAACACGGCATAGGAGGCAGAACTAGCTTGCAGCTCCAGCTTGGATGGACAGGGTGGCATGTGGAGACTCTTATCATCAACTTTTGCTTCAGAATTACTACTGCACAAATATACCAGGAAAGCCAAGAGAATCCACAGACCCTCTGAAGGAAGTGGATTGCTCTTGCAGGGTCTGGGAGACAGCCCACATACTGTGAGTGTCCAAGCTGTGACAGTGGAAAAGTGGGGTTATCTGCCCCTGGACACACATGCTCATTGGGGAACCTGAAGGTCTGGACTGGGGAGAAGGATTTGACCTTGCCTGAAGCTGAGTCAACTTAGAGAGCAGAGTGAAATATGGGGATAGAGGAGGCAGTGGGAAAAGCCCTGTGGGCTCTCTGGTTCCCCAGGGAAGCCATTTCTTACTTGTCTCATTGGTGTTCTTGGGGAGGTCTGCCAGAGTAACGGGGAAGAGACCACAGGGAGAAGGAAACCTCCAGCTGAACTTTGTAACAATTCCAGCTGAATCCCCAGGGAAGCTATTTCTTACCTGTCCCACAGGTGTCCTTGGGGAGGGCTGCCAGAGTAACTGGGAAGAGACTACAGGGAGAAGGAAACCTCCAGCTGAACTTTGTAACAATTCCAGCTGAATCCCCAGGGAAGCTATTTCTTACCTGTCCCACAGGTGTCCTTGGGGAGGGCTGCCAGAGTAACTGGGAAGAGATCACAGGGAGAAGGAAACCTCCAGCTGAACTTTGTAACAATTCCAGCTGAATCCCCAGGGAAGCTATTTCTTACCTGTCCCACAGGTGTCCTTGGGGAGGGCTGCCAGAGTAACTGGGAAGAGACCACAGGGAGAAGAAAACCTTCATCTGAACTTTGCAACAATTCCAGCTGAATGTGAAATCGCTTGGCCAGAACTTGGGGAGGGCATGAATCCGGCGTGCAGACCCAACAGGTGGGGAGGTGTGAAAGTCCTACTTGCTTTCTCATCTGGGAGGCTGGTAGCGTGGGGGAAGTTCTCAGCCCTGTTGTTTATTGCGTGGAAACAAACTCAGTGCATCTGGGGGTGATGCACAGTAGAAGTGAGATTGGCCTTTTGGGTTGTGTGGGAGCTGGGTGAGGCCTGTAACTGCCAGCTTCTACACAACTCCCACTTCCCTGACAACCTGCATGACAAAGCAGAGACAGTCATAATCCTGGGAACATAACTCCATTGGCCTGGGGACCACACCCTCAATCCCACAGCAGCAGCAACAAGCCTGCCCAAGGAGAGTCTGAGCTTAGACACACCTAACCCTGCTCCCACCTGATGGTCCTTCTCTACTCACCCTGGTAGCCGAAGACAAAGGGTATATTCTCTTGGGACTTCTAAGGCGCTGACCACAGCCTGATCCCCCCTATGCTACCACAGCTGATGCTCTCTTGAAAGTATTACTTCCTGGCAAGAGGCCAACCAGCACAAAAATAGTGCATTAAATGACCAAAACTAAGGACCCTCACAGAGTCCATTTTACAACCTGCCAACTCCACTGGAGCAGATGCTGGGATTCATAGTTGAGAGACATGAAGATGGTTTACATTGTCTGAGCAGACATCCCCTAGTACCAGCCCACATCCTGGTAGCCCTGCTGTGTGGCTAGATCCAGAAGAGAAATAGCCATCACTATAGCTTGGTTCTCAGGAAGCCACAAACCTAGGAAAAGGGGAAGAGTACTACATCAAAGGAACACCTCATAAGACAAAAAAATCTCAACAGCAGCCTTGAGCTCTAGATCTTCCCTGTGACATAGCCTACCCAAATGAGAAGGAACCAGAAAAACAATTCTGGTAATATGACAAAACAAGGTTCTTAACAACCCTCATGCCAAAAAAAAAAAAAAAAAAAAAAAAAATCACACTAGCTAACCAGCAATAGATCCAAACCAAGAAGAAATTCCTGATTTACCTGAAAAAGAATTCTGAATGTTGATAATTAAGCTACTCAAGTAGGTGCCAGAGAAAGGTGAAGTCCAACTTAAGGAAATTTAAAAAAATGATATAAGATATGAGGGGATAAATCTCCAGTGAAATAGATAGCATAAATAAAAAGCAATCACAACTTCAGAAAAAAAAGGACACACTTAGAGAAATGCAAAATATACTGCAAAATCTCACCAATAGAATCAAAGAAGCAAAAGGAAGAGCTTCAGAGCTCAAAGACAAGGTATTTGAATTAACCCAGTCCAACAAAGACAAAGAAAAAAAAGAATAAAAAAGTGAGCAAAGGCTCCAAGAAGTTTGGGATTATGGTAAATGATAAAACCTAAGAATAATTGGTGTGTTCCTGAGTAAGAAGAGAAATCTAAACGTTTGGAAAATATATTGGGGGAACAATTGAGAAAAACATCCCTGGCCTTGCTAGAGAACTAGACATCTAAATACAAGAAGCTCAAAGAACAGCTGGGAAATTTATTGCAAAAAGATGATTGCCTAGGCACATTGTCATTAGGTTATCTAAAGTCAAGATGAAGAAAAGAATCTTAAGAGCTGTGAGGCAAAAAGCACAAGATAACCTATTTAAAAAACTATTAGATGAACAGCATTTTCTCAGCAGAAACCCTACAAGCTAGAAGGGATTGGGGCCCTGTTTTCAGCCTCCTTAAACAAAACAAGTGTCAGCCAAGAACTTTGTATCCAGTGAAACTAAGCTTCATAAATGAAGGTCTTTTTCAGACAAATAAATGCTGAGAGAAGTTGCCATTACCAAGCCAGCCTACAAGAACTGCTAAAAGAAGCTCTAAATCTTGAAACAAATCATGAAAACACATCAAAACAGAACCTTTTTAAAGTATAAATCTCACAGGACCTGTAAAACAGAAATATAATTAAATAACTCCAAGGTATACAGCAACAAATAACACAATGAATGGCATAGTACCTCGCATCTCAATACTAACATTGAATATAAATGGCCTAAATCTTCCACTTAAAGGATACGGAAAGGCAGAATAAATAAAAATTCACCAACCAAGTATCTGCTGCCTTCAAGAGACTCACCGAACACATAAGGACACACATAAACTTAAGGTAAAGGGGTGGAAAAAGACATTCCATGCAAATGGACACCAAAAGTGAGCAGGAGTAGTTAATCTTATGTTAGACAAAACAAGCCTTAAAGCAACAGCAGTTTAAAAAGACAAAGAGGGACATTATATAATGATAAAAGTCCTTGTCCAACGGGGAAATATCACAATCCTAGATATGTATGCATGTAACACTGGAGCTCCCAAATTTATAAAGCAGTTACTACTAGACCCAATAAATGGGATAGACAGCAACACAGTAATGGTGGGGACTTCAGTAGACCCAATAAATGGGATAGACAGCAGCACAGTAATAGTGGGGGACTTCAATACTCCACTGACAGCACTAGGCAGGTCATCGAGACAGAAAGTCAACAAAGAAACAACGGATTTAAACTATACCCAGGAACAAATGGACTTAACAGATATTTACAGACCATCCTACTCAATAACTGCAGAGTGTACGTTCTATTCATCAGCACATGGAACTATCTCCAAGACAGACCATATGATAGACCACAAAACAAGTCTCAATATATTTAAGGAAATTGAAATTACATTAAGTTCTCTCTCAGACCACAGTGGAATTAAATTGGAAATCAACTCCAAAACCATGCAAATACATGGAAATTAAGTAACCTGCTCCTGAATGATCACTGGGTCAACAATGAAATCAAGGTGGAAATTAAAAAATTAAGTTCTTTGAGCTGAGTGATAATAGTGACACAACCTATCCAAACCTCTGGGATTCAGCAAAGATGACACTATTGAGGAAAATTCATAGCCTTACATGCCTTCATTAAAAAGTCTGAAAGAGTACAAATAGACAATTTAATGTCACACCTCAGGGAACTAGAGAAACAAGAACAAATCAAACCCAAACCCAGCAGAAGAAAGGAAATAATCAAGATCAGAGCAGAACTAAATGAAATTAAAACTAACCAATAAATAAATAAATAAATAAATAAGATAAAACAAAAAGCTGGTTCTTTGAAAAGATAAATAAAATGGATAGACCATTAGCAAAATTAACCAAGAAAAGAAGAGAGAAGATCCAAATAAGCTCAATTATAAACAAAACGGTCAATGCTGCTATGAACACCTTTGTGCACATAAACTGGAAAACCTAGAGGAGATGGATAAATTCCTGGAAAGATACAACCCTCCTGGCTTAAGTCAGGAAGAATTAGAAACCCTGAACAGATCGATAACAAGCAGTGAGATTGAAATGGTAATAAAAAAATTACCAACCAAAGCAAGTCCAGGACCAGATAGATTCACCCCTGAATTCTACCAGACACTCAAAGAAGAATTTGTACCAATCCTATTGTCACTATTCCACAAGATAGAAAAAAGTGGAATCCTTCTTAAATCATTCTATGAAACTGTTATCACCCTAATACCCAAACCAGGAAAGGACATAAAAAAAAAAGAAAATTATGGACCAATATCCCTGATGAACATAGATGTCCATCTCATCACAGGGGTCATACCTGACAATATCTGATGCAAAATGATGAAAAACTACGTTCCCCAGCCTCTGTACTGGCAATCCCTGTCAGCCTTATTCTACTCAAGTTTTACATGTACTTAGCAAAACCTAACGTGGACTTTATCTTGGTCTCTATGTTTCTATGTATCTAATTGCATCTCTGAATCTGATGATGTCCCTTTTTGTTGTCTATCTATACATCTATGCCTGCATCCATCCATGTCCATCTGCATCTACCCACCATCCATCCACCCATTCACTCATCTAATCACATATCCACCCAACCACTCACCATCCATCCACCCATTCACTCATCTACGCACACATCCACCCAACCACCCACCATCCATCCACCCATTCACTCATCTTCTCACACATCCATCCAACCACCCACCATCCATCCGCTCATTCACTCATCTTCTCACACATCCACCCAACCACCCACCATCCATCCACTCATTCACTCATCTAATCACACATCCACCCAACCACTCACCATCCATCCACCCATTCACTCATCTAATCACACATCCACCCAACCACTCACCATCCATCCACCCATTCACTCATCTAATCACACATCCACCCAACCACTCACCATCCATCCACCCATTCACTCATCTAATCACACATCCACCCAACCACCCACCATCCATCCACCCATTCACTCATCTTCTCACACATCCACCCAACCACCCACCATCCATCCACCCATTCACTCATCTACACACACATCCACCCAACCACCCACAATCCATCCATCCACCCATTCACTCATCTTCTCACACATCCACCCAACCACCCACCATCCATCCACCCATTCACTCATCTACACACACATCCACCCAACCACCCACAATCCATCCATCCACCCATTCACTCATCTTCTCACACATCCACCCAACCACCCACCATCCATCCACCCATTCACTCATCTTCTCACACATCCACCCAACCACTCACCATCCATCCACCCATTCACTCATCTACACACACATCCACCCAACCACCCACCATCCATCCACCCATTCACTCATCTACTCACACATCCACCCAACCACCCACCATCCATCCACCCGTTCACTCATCTAATCACACATCCACCCAACCACCCACAATCCATCCACCCATTCACTCATCTAATCACACATCCACCCAACCACTCACCATCCATCCACCCATTCACTCATCTAATCACACATTCACTCAACCACCCACAATCCATCCACCCATTCACTCATCTAATCACATATCCACCCAACCACTCACCATCCATCCACCCATTCACTCATCTACTCACACATCCATCCTCACCTATCCATCCATCCATATGCATCTGCCTCCACCCCACTCATCCACCCAACCATCCACCCACCCACCCACCATCCATCCACCTGTTCAGGCATCTACCCACTCACCCACCTACCCACTCACCCATCCACATCCACCCACCCACTCACTTACCCACCCACCCACTCACCCATCCACATCCACCCACCCACTCACTCACCCACCCACACATCCATCCACCCACTCACTCACCCACCCACACATCCACCCAGTCACTCAATTGCCCACCCACTCACTCACCCAGCCACTCACCCACCAACATATCCACCCACCCACTTATTTACCCATTCTTCATCTCCTATCCATGCCTTTGTCCCCCTGCTGTGATAATCCTAATTTCTCTCCCTTCCTCCCTGTAGGGCTTTTGGCTCCACAGGGTCATGGGGTGTCCCTTATGCTGTGCTGAGGTGCAGGATCCAAGAAGTAAAGAGACAGGACACTGAAGAACTGGAGAAGAACAGCTGGACTTGGGGGGCCACACCACCTATGAGCGGGGACAGACAAGGCCCAGAATGTGCAGAAGCATCTGTATTTATTAGGTACAAGCAGGGGGAAGGGTTGTAAGTGAGGTCATCATCTATAGGCTTAGTGGGAGGGCATACATAATCACATGAGTCACAAGCGATGGGACCACCCCATAGTGTCACCCAGGCAGAGAGGTGGGGTATGTGCAGTAGGGGGCCGTGCCGTGTACAGTAGTAGAGGGTCATGTACAGAAAAGGGGTCCACCCCTATTAGGTCACCGAGGTAAGGAGGTGGGCTGTGTGCAGCAGGTGTTGTGCGTGACACTTCATATGTGGGGACTGGAGACTTCAAAGGGTTTCTAATAGAAAGATACTGTAAGCCAATGCATTGGGAGCTGACAGACTTGTGCTCTGCTCTTAAGATATTTATGGGAAGATGCTTTGAGCCAGCACAGAAGTGAGAAAAGACTGACAGGGTGTACAGCTGCTGTGACTGGTCACACCAGAGGGGTTCCTCTCCCTCGGTTAATTCCAGGGTCTCAGGCCTGAGGCCTACTTTCCACAGGAACTGGAGGCAAGGTTCTACAAGTCCTTTATCAGGAGGAGAGGCTCCTGCTCCAAGCCTGCCACACAGCATATGCCCTTTCAGGCAGGGACACCACCGCCTGGGTCTTTGGTTCTCGTCCTGGTCTGGCTGTTTTCCCATGTACCGCTTCTGTTCTGTGACTGCTCTAGGCATTCCTCCTACTACAAACTACTATATGATTACATAGAAGGATTCTATAAATCAGCACTGAGTGTGTCAGTACAGCTCTGACTACAATACCTATATGATTATATAGAAAGATTATATGGAACTAAGTATGATTATATATATGAGCTAGATACAGTAAGCAGTAAGTTATTATATGATTTTATAGGAAGATTACATGGGACTAGTATGATTATATATATATATATATATATATATATATATATATATATATAGGCTAGATATAATAAGCAGTGAGTTATCCTTCAGGCACTAATTGGGCCTGGGGTCTGCACAGTTCTTCTGCCTCGGTGCGCATGGGAGGGGTTACCCACACTCCCCAAGGCAGGAGGAGGTCAGATGTCTGGACAGGGAAGAGATAGAAGCATGCGAACGTGTTTCCCCGGATTTCATCCTTGTCACAGCTATGGGTGAGTCTCCGGGCCTGGGGAATGCATTTGGGTGTCCCGGCGGTCTGTAAGCCTTGCTGTGAGAGGAGGAATCTGCTCATACTTTTCATTTCTTCTAGCAGCTTACTGAACTCTGATTTTTATAACTTTTCAGTTAGAAAATTATATCATTTGCAAATAAAAATAATTGCTATCTCCTTTCCAGTATGCGATCGCCTACTGTCTTTTCTTTCCTAATTGCATTAGCAAGCAAAATTCCAGAAGAATATTTAATAACAACAGCGGAGATAGTTTTCTTTTATTTCTCACTGTAGTGGGAATAGCGCTAGTGCTTTATCAATAATCAAGACATCGGCTAATGGATTAAATAATAAAAGGGTTTTATTTTTCTCCACTCCGAAGCTGAATGGCAGCATACACCTGAATAACATCTTGGGCAGATTCTTCAACTTCCTGGTCAGTTAGTTGTTAACATCCACAGAGTTTGAATCTCCAGCCTCCTCTTGTCCTATTAAAGTTCCCTGCGTGCTCCCCGCCAGCCTCCCCTAGCTGTGACCTGAGGGTCTTGAAGTCAGGAGGGGCTTGGTCTGATGTTCCACTCTTTTGCCCCGCCCCTTCCTCCTGGAATGCCCACGGAGCGGCATGTCTGTCTTCTCCTCCCTTGCCAAAGTTTACCCTATGCTCTGCGGGGTATGGGGGGAAGGGGCAGCAAGGTGCGGATGTTGCCTTCCTAGCCAGGCATCCGACTACAGTGTGCTCTTTCGCTTGGTCGCAGCTCTGATCACATTAGTCACTGATATCCCGGGCAGCAGGTGAACAAATGGCTCTTGTGCCTTGCCGGGTATTTGCAAGTTCTTGGGGCCACCGTGCTGCAACGTTCTCTGACATGGGAGCCACATCTCTGGCTTGGCGTCTTTGTAGGGTTGCAAGATTTAGCAAATAAAATACAGGATACCTAGTTACATTTCAATTTCAGATAAATGATTAGGTTATTTTTGAGACACAGTTTCACTCTGTCAACTAGGCTGGAGTGCAGTGGCGTGATCTCCGCTCACTGCAACCTCTGCCACCCGGGTTCAAGTGATTCTCCTGCCTCAGCCTCCTGAGTAGCTGGATTACAGGTGCTGCCACTATGCCTGGCTAATTTTTGTATTTTTAGTAGAGATGGGGTTTCACCATCTCGGCCAGGCTGGTCTTGAACTCCTGACCTCATGATCCACTCGCCTCGGCCTCTCAAAGTGTTGGGATTACAGGCGTGAGCCACTGCACCCAGCCAATAATTTTTTAGTGTATGTACCGTTCAATATTTGGGACATAGTTGTAGTCAAAAAATTATTCATTATTTACCTGAGATTTATATCTAACGAGTATCCTATATTTAATCTGAGAATCCCATATTTTTTTCCCCCACTCTTTCCAGCAAGCCTCCCTCTGGGTGAGCTCTGGCAAGATGGTTCTTGACCTCGGAGGCACGCTTCCTTGCTGCGTGCCCCCCTCACCTCTCTTGCCTGGCTAGTTCTCTGGCTCTGTTCTTCTCTCTCTTAGATGTGAGCGGATCTGACCATCACATTCCAAGCAGCAGTGGAACCGGGTAATAACAGGTGATCCTCCCTGCTTGCAGGCAGCCCCAACCTTGGAGTGCGTGTGTGTACATATACAATGAATAATGCATACTGAATATCATCAAAAGCCTTTTGGCATCTATTGAGGTGATCATATGGTTTTTATCCTTTCTCCAATTGACAAGATTTGTATTCATAGATGTCTTATATTGCATTCCTGGAATAATCTTCACTTGGTGACAGTATATTTTTTTCTCTATAGAGCACTGGACTTCCTTCCCTAGTTTTTAATAGAGGAATATCCTCTGTATATTTATAAAAGAGAAATCTAGAGAGATAATTATGCTTGGTTCTAAAATGTATTGTAAACATTTCCATTTATTTCATTATTTTTTCCCACTATGCCTCAAAGGCTTCATTTGGTGCACTGGTCCTATGTTATTTGAAAGCCAGCAAGAACATCTTCGTGAGGTACCTTTTTTGGAGGCAGACTTCCTTCTCTCTGAACTGCTTCCTTCATTATTATTCTAGCCAAATTGCCGGAGAGAGGACAGCTCCTTTCATGGGCTCCAGCCCTGTGAGCACCAGGCTCTTGTTTCTTTTCATTCCTCCCTTGCTGTATCAGTCTGTCTTCACCCTGCTGATAAAGACATACCCGAGACTGGGTAATTTATGCAGGAAAAAGTGCTTAATGGGCTTACAGTTCCACATGGATGAGGAAGCCTCACGATGATGGCAGAAGGCAAGGAGCAGCAAGTCACGTCTCACATAGATGGCAGCAGGCAAAGAAAGAGAGCTTGTGCAGGGAAACTCCCCCTTACACAGCATCAGATCTCATGAGATATTCACTATCATGAGAAAAGAACGGGAAAGACCTGCCCCCATGATTCAATTACCTCCTGCTGGGTCCCTCCCATAACACCTGGGAATTCAAGATAAGATTTGGGTGGGGACACAGCCAAACCATATCACTTGTTCTTGGGTCACTGTGGAGGAGGAGGAGGGCTCTAGCCTGTGGTTAGGGAGATGACAGTATTGTCCATTTTTCTCACTCATCTTTTCCTGGGCTCCAAGCACTGGGGGTTTGTTTCTTTTCCTTCCCTTTTCCTCCAGGTTAGGGAGGTGGCAGTCCAAGTGACAGCACCATCAGCAGGGTGCTTCAGGGCTAGCCATGGGTGGCGGGCAGCAGAGGGGGTGCTAGGAAGCCCTTTTGGCCTCAAAGTTGGTTGCCCTGATTGGCGTATCAGTATTGAGTTGATATTCTACTTGACACCTGCCTGTCTTCCATGTCTTATTTTTTTTTTCTTGGTTCTGAACTCAGGAGGGAAATAACGTGTGTTTATAAGCCCCTATATCTTTCAAATATCTCCTTTTAACAACCAATGTTGGTGATTTTTTAGAGAACCTTCTGCATTGAGATTCTGTCTTTCAAATATAGAAGTGAGAGACGACTGTAGTATTGTTTATATTTTGAGATCTCCTCCATACCGTTCACATCCCTTTGATAAATCCCAACAGTGTGTATTTGTTTTTTCTTTGTTTTCTACATAATTAGGCTTCTCAGTGGTTCCCTTATTGTCTTTTCAGAGAACCAGCTCTTAGAATTATTAATTTTCCTTTTTCTCTTTACTCATTCATTGTTTCCTATTTTCCATCTTTCTTCATTCTTTTCATATGTCTTACATGTTTTCCTTGAAGGCATTTTGATGCCTTGTTTTTCAGCTCCTTGATTGGGAGATTTCTTTCATTCACCTTTATGCTAATTATGAACATGTACCTGGTAAGACTCAGGAAGTAGCTAAATTAGATAATCTGTATTCAGTATTTAGCACTGTGTTGGAACATCGTGGATACTCCATAGACGGTGGCTACCAATGAACATGACAGTAAGAACACACAAAATATTTTGACTTGTTTTTCTGAGTACAGTTTTGAGCCCATTTTATACACTCTGATGTGTAGTATTATAATTACTTTCTTAATAGTTTGCATTTGTGGCATTTTTAAATTGAATATTTATTTGTAAACTATGTAGGCATGTATAATATTGTTCTCAAGAGTTGTATTTTTTTGAGTGTAACTTTTAAATTATTCATAATTTTATAAAGTAGTATTTGGTAATTACCATTTTCTTTTAAATCTACAGAGGTATGTAATTCATTGTTTGGTATAGGGTGTATTTTTGTGAATGTTTCATGAGTTTGAAAAATTAATATGTATTCCATCTTTAAAGGGCAGAAATCTTAATATATCTACTAAAGCAGCCATCCTAATTTATATAATTTATTTTCTCAGTATCCTTATTAAAGATCTACTTCTCATCTTTAAGATGTGTAATAGTGTCTGCCACTAAAATTATGTTTTTCTTTCTTTCTTTCTTTTTTTTGAGACAGAGTCTTGTTTTGTTGCCCAGGCTGGAGTGCAGTCACGTGATCTCTGCTCACTGCAACCTCCACCTCCTCTCTTGCCTCAGCTCCCCGAGCAGCTGGGATAACAGACAGGCACTACCATGCCCAGCTAATTTTTGTATTTTTAGTAGAGATGGCGCTTCACCATATTGGCCAGGCTGGTCTCAAGCTCCTGATCTCAGGTGACCCACCCGCCTTGGCTTCCCAAAGTGCTGGGATTATAGGTGACTAAAATTGTGTTTTCATCAGTTTCTTTCTATGTTCTAAAAAGTTTGCACTTAAAATATTTTAACATTTTGTTATTTGGCACAGAAATAGTCATGGCCAGCACATTGTTTTGTATTCTAGCTTTTATCAGTTATAATGGTCTGTGATATACTTGGTCCTTCCTCTGCCATCTGGTTATATATTTATAAATGTACTTATAATTTATGTATAGACTTACAAATTACACCATACAAATTATTTTACAATTTTATTTTTAAAATAACTTGTTTCCTTGTGGTATACATACTTATCAGAGATTATATAAAATATAATTAACCAAAAAGAGAAAATATAGTTTTTCAATGGTCTCTTAAACCACTACTAACTCTGTTGTTTGTTTGTTGAAGTTTTTTTATAACTATGTAGTGTATAGTTTTATGTATAAAAATGAAATTTCCATGTAATATGGTTTTCTATTCTTTGTTTTTCATTGAATGTGTAAAGACTTACATTCTCCAGCTCCTAAGTTAAACGTAAACTAATTCCTAGTGAAAACAGCTTCAATCAACATTAGAAGGTTGCATCACTCAACCAACCGGACTTAACACACATCTGCAGAATACTCTACCCATTAATAACAAAGTAGAGATTCTTCTCATGTGCACATGCAGTGCTCTGAGATCAACCACATGCTCGGCCATAAAGCCAGTCTCAGTACATTAAAAAAAGATTGAAATCGTACCAGCCATACTCTCGGATCACAGTGGAGTAGACATAGATATCAGTATGAAGAAGATCTCTCAAAACCTCATAATTACATGGAAATTAAATAACTTGCTCCTAAACGACTTTTGGGTAAACAATAAAATTAAGACAGAGACAAAAAAAAATCTTTGAAATGAAAAGAAAGACACAATATAACAAAAATCTCTGGGATGCAGCAAAATCAATGTCAACAGAAAAGTTTATAGTGCTAATCACCTACATGGAAACATTAGCAAGATCTCAAATTCAGGCTCTAAAGCCTCACCTAGGGGAACTAGAAAAGCAAGAATGAACTAACCTCAAAGCTAGCAGAAGAAAAGAAATACTAAAATTAGAGCAGAACTGAAAGAAAAAAAAATTCACACAAAGAATTGACAAAACCAAAAGTTGTTTTTTTGAAACAATAAACAAGATTGGTAGACTGCTAGCTAGATTAACAAAGAAAAAAGAGAGAAGCTCCAAATAACCATAGTGAGAAACAACAAAGGTGACATTTCAGCTGGACTCACAGAAACAAGAAAGATTCCCAGAGACTATTATGAACACGCTATCCACACAAACTAGAAAATCTAGAGAAAATGGATAAATTCCTAGAAATATACAACCTCCCAAGATTGAATCAGGAAGAAATGGAAACTCTGAGCAGATCAATATCAAGTTCCAAACCTGAATCAGTAACAAAAACCTACCAAAAAAAAAAAGCCAAGACAGATGAAATCACAACTGAATTCTACCAGATGTACAAGAAGAGTGGGTACTAATTCTACTGAAAGTATTCAAAAAAATTGAGGAGGAAGGACTCCTCCCTAACTGATACTGTGAAGCTAGTATCACTCTGATGTCAAAACTGGGTGAAGACACATTGAAAAAAGAGAACTAAAGGCCAATATCCCTAATAAACACAGATGCAAGAATCATGAACAAAATACTAGCAGACTGAATCCAACAGCACATGAAAAAGTTAATTCACCACGATCAAGTAGGCTTCCGACCAGGATGCAAGGTTGGTTCAACATACACAATCAATAAATGTGATTTACCTGCCACATAAAAGAATGAAAGCCAAAAACCATATAACCACCTCAATAGACATGGAAAAAGCTTTCAATAAAATCCAACATCCTTTTATGATAAAAACCTTCAACAAACTAGGCATCAAAGGACCATACTTCACAATAATGAGAGCCGTCTATGACAGTAGCCGTCATTGTACGGAATGAGCAAAAGCTGGAAGCATTTCTGTAAAGAACTAAAACAAGACAAGGATGCCTACTCTCACCACTCCTATTCAACATAGTTCTGAAAGTCCCAGCCTGCTCAATCAGGCGAGGGAAAGAAATAAAAGGCATCAAATAGGGAAAGAAGCCAAATCATCTCTTTTGGCTGATGATATGATTCTACACCTGGAAAACGCTAAAGACCACACCAAAAGGCTCCTAGAAATGATAAGTGACTTCAACAAAGTTTCAGTATACAAAATCAATATACAAAAAGCAGTGGTATTTCTATACACCAGTAATGATCAAATTTATAATAGACACGCACACACACGCACACACACATGCATGCACACACACGCACACGCACGCACACACACGCACACACGCATGCACACACACGTGCACACGCACACACACGCGCGTGCACACGTGCAGACACACACACGCACACTCCTACCTAGGAATACGTCTCTACAAGGAGAACTAAAAACACTGCTGAAAGAAATCATGGATGACAGACAAATGGAAAAATACTTTATGCTCATGTACTGAAAGAAGCCATATCATTAAAATGGCCTTATTGCTCAAAGAAATCTATAGATTTAATACTATTTTTATCAAACTACCAACATCATTTTGCACAGCATTAGAAAAAACAATCCTAAAATTCATATGGGACCAAAAAAACAGCTCAAATAGCCAAGATGATCCTAAGCAAAAAGAACAAAGTTGGAGGCATCATAGCACCCAACCTCAAGCTAACGCAAACGGCACGGTGCTGGTGCAAAAGAGACATAGACAAAGCAGCAGAATAGAGAAGACAGAAATAAAGCCGCGCATCTAGAGCCATCAGATCTTCTACAAAGTTGACAAAAATAAGCGATGGGGAGAGAACTTCCTATTCAATAAATGGTGCCCGGAGAGCTCGACAGCTATATGCAGATGAGTGTATAGAGTAAAAGGACCCCTACCTTTTACTGTGTACAAAAAGTAACTCAAGATGGGTTAAAAGTTTAAATGTAGGACTTCAGACTATACAAATCCTAGAAGGAAACCTAGGAAATACCATTCTGGCCTTGGGAAAGAATTTATGACTAGGTACTCAAAGGCAATTGCAACAAAACTGAAAATTGACAAGTGGGACCTAATTATGCTAAAGAGCCTCTGCACAGCACAGCAAACGAAACTATCAGCAGAGTAAACAGAAAACCTGCAGGATGGGAGAAAATGTTCCCGAAGTATGCATGTGGAAAAGGGCTAGTATCCAGAATCTATAAGTGTATTAGTCCATCCTTGCATTGCTGTAAAGAAATACCTGAGTCTGGGTAATCTGTAAAGAAAAGAGGTTTAATTGGCTCACGGTTCTGCAGGCTGTACAGGAAGCCCGGGAGCACCTGCTTCCGGGAGGCCTCAGGAAGCGTACAGTCTGCCCCGTGCTCTCGTGCTCCTGTTTTCACCATCTGATGTACCTGCTCCCACTATCCTGAGGACAGGACCAACCGAAATGGTGCTAAAGCATTCATGAGAAATCTGCCCCTTTGAGCCAATCACCTGCCACCGGATTCCACCTCCACCATTGGGGATTACATTTCAATATGAGATTTGCATGGAGACAGTATCCACACTCTATCAATAAGGAACTCAAATAATTCAAAAAGAAAAAAAACCCATTAAAATGTGGGCTAAAGATGTGAACACACACTTCTCACGCTTGATCTTAGCCCAGAGACTGAGAAGCAGTGAACACACGCTTCTCAAAAGAAGACATACAGGTGACCAACAAACAGAAGAAATGCTCAGCGTCATTAATCATCATGTAAATGCAAATCGAAACCACAATGAGCTAACATCTCACACCAATCAGAATGGCTGTTACTAAAAAGTAAAAAAAAAAAAAAGAAAACAAATAGCTGCTGGAAAGCAGCAGAGAAAAGGGAATGCTTATACACTGTTGGTGGGAATGTAAATCAGTTCAGCCACTGTGGAAAGCTGTCTGGAGATTTCTCAAAGAACTTAAAACAGAACTACCATTTGACCCAGCCGTCCCATTACTGGGTATATATCCAAGGAAAATAAATCATTCTACCAAAAAGTCACATGCACTCATACGTTCATTGCAGCAGCAGTCACAATGGCAAAGACATGGAATCAACCTAGCTGTCTGTCACTGGTGGATTGGATAAAGAAAATGTGGGACCTCTACATGGCCATAAAAAAGGATAAACTCATGTCCTGTGCAGCAACATGGATGCAGCTGGAGGTCAGGATCCTAGGTGAATTAGCTTAAGAACAGAAAACCAAATACCACATGTTCTCACTGATAAGTGCGAGCTAGACATTGGGTACACATGGATGTAAAAATGGGGACTGTAACTAGGGGAGGCTGGGAAGGAGGCAAGTGCTGAAAAACTATTGAGTATAGTGTTCATTACCTGGGTGCTGGGATCATTCACACACCGAGCCTCATTGTTGAAATTATAGAAATAATTTTGTGTCATTAGGTTTTCATCTGGAACATGATTTTTTTTTTTTAGACGGAGTCTTGCTCTGTTTCCCAGGCTAGAGTGCAATGGCGTGATCTCTGCTAACTGCAACCTCTGCCTCCTGGGTTTAAGGTGTTCTCATGTCTCAGCCTCCCAAGTAGCTCGGCACCACGCTTGGCTAATTTAGTATTTTTAGTAGAGATGGAGTTTCACCATGTTGGTCAGGTTGGTCTCGAACTCCTGACCTCAGGTGAGCCGCCTGCCTCAGCCTCCCACAGTGTTGGGATTACAGGCGTGAGCCACCGCACCTGGCCCGGAACATGATTTTTAAGGCTGTGTACTGCTCTCCCTTATATGCCTACTGTCTTTTCATGCTCCTCTTGATTTTGTGTTTTATCCTTCTTTGTCTGTCTGTCTGTTTGAAGCACTTGCCCCTCACTGCTTGCTGGTGCTTGGGAGGTTCTCACTCTCATTTCCTCCTGCTGAGGAGAACCCATGTGTGATTAAACATTTAGCATGTGTCCACTTTTCCCCTTTATGAGTTCTATTTCTGTGACTTTGGGATTCTAGAAACAGATTTTTAGTATATTGAGGGTTTTTTTTTTTGTATTTTTTAAGAACAATTGTTTTGGCATTTACATTGATATATTTTTTTAAGACAGGGTCTCGCTCTGTCACCCAGGCTGGAGTGCAGTGGCACGATCTCAGCTCATTGCAATCTCAACCTCTCTGGCTCAAGTGATCCTCTTGTCTCAGCCTCCCTGGTAGCTGGGACCACAGGTATGTGCCACCACTCCTGGATAGTTTTTGTATATTTTGTAGAGATGGGGTTTTACCATGTTTCCCGGGCTGGTCTTGAGCTCCTGGGCTCAAGCAATCCACCCACCTTGGCCTCCCAAAGTGCTGGAATTCCAGGCATGAGCCACTGTACCCGGCCTGCGTTGATTTTATTACTCCCATTTACAGTTTCTTGGACCAGGTGCTTTGTTACGGCGTTTCTTACTTGCCACTACCCTTTGCTGCTACATTCGCCCGCTCCCGTGCTGCTTTCTCTGACTTCCCTCCTCTGGCTGGAGTTTGCAGGTGGAATGGGGTGGGGGTTGCAACTTCTGGGCCCCTCCACCTGAGACTGTCTTCCCACGGCCTTTTTTTGTGGCCGGCACCTGGGCTGGTTATGGAATTCTTGGGTACAGTGTCCCCTTCAGAGCTTGCTGGAATGTGCTTCGTGGGATTCTGGAGTTTTCTCTCGTGCCACCTGAGGCCCATTCATCTTTCTTCCTTCTGTGCCCACACCTGTCCCTTTCTTGCTGCCCCTCCTGGTTCTCCTCTCTCCATCCACACCTGCCTTCCTCAGATCTTCAAGTAATTCCTTCCTCTCCCCTCCCATACTCTCCCCTCTCAGGAACCAGACTGCATGCCTACCTGAACGTCAGAGCTTACCATAATCTTCGGTCAGGCTGGTCTCAAACTCCCGGACTCAAGCAATCCGCCCACCTCGGCCTCCCAAAGTGCTGGGATTATAGGCATGAGCCATTGTGCCCAGCAGATTCCTGCAGAAAACTTTTGATCAGGTCTACCCCAATATGCAGTTTGCAGCAGGGGATGGGTATTGTGCTGTGTTTTATGAGAATGTAACACAGTCCACACCGTAGAAATCCAGAGGCAGAGCTTTCTAGAGACCCACTGTGGAAGAGGGGTGTGTAGAATTATTTCACAAAGTGTTAGTGAGAGAGAAAAAATCCCTGTACCTAGGGCCATTATTGTTACTGATGTATTTCTAGATGCTTCTTAGCTTTGTGGAAGTGGAATAAACACTCACAGCTCACACATTCCTGACCCTTCCTGTTGAATGTCCTGAATGTTGGCTTCTCTACAAGTCTTCACAACAGTGTTCTTGAAATATTTTCTCAAATGTGATAGTGATTACGACTACACATGACAGCTTGCCCAGGCAAAGTGCTAACAGGTCAGTAAAATGTTAAAATGCTTAATTAATGCTTGTGAGATTCCAAAATATATTCGCTGATGCCACGATAATTCACTCAGCATTCTACACAGAAACATTGTCATTATTCATAACAGGGGTTGGCAAATCTGGCCAATGGCCTAGTTTTGTAAATAAAGTTTTATTAGTACACAGCTATTCCTACTTGTTTACACTTTGTCTGTGGCTGCTTTCATGCCAGGAGGGTGGAGTTGAATAGTTGCAGCAGAGACCAGATGTGATGGTTGGTTTTATGTATCAACTTGATTGGGCCACGGGGTGCCCAGATATGTGGTTAAACATTATTTCTGGTGTGTCTGCAAGGGTGTGTCTGGAAGAGTTGGACGTTTAAATGGTGGACTAAATCAGATGGCCCTAGTCAGTGTGGATGGTGCATCCAATCCGTTGAAGGCATGGTTAGAATACAATGGGGAGGAAGGTTGACTTTGCTCCCTGTCTGGCCTGTTGAGCTGGAACATGGCTCTTCTCCTGCTCTCACTACTTCTTGTTCTCCAAACCTTAGACCAGGCCTGGCATCTACTCCATCAGTTCTCCCACACTCAGGCCCTCAAACTACACAGGCTTTCCTGGGTCTCCAGCCTGCACGTGGCAGATCATGGGACTTCTCAGCCTTCAGCCTCAGACTTCATGATCATGTGAGTCAATTCCTAAGAATAAATTATATATATATAGACACACACGTATCTACGTATATTCTTGTATATATACACACATGTACATGTAGATATATATACACATATATGCAGGTGTGTGGGTGTGTAAATATACACGTACATGTACATATATATTCTATTGATCCTGTGTCTCTGGAGAATGCTCAAGACTACACCATGTGACCTGCAAAGCTAGAATAGTTACTGTCTGGCCCTTTTCAAAAAAATTTCCACTTCTGCTCTATGTCCAGCATGTAACTGGAGATGAAGCGTTTGAACACAGCTTATGAGGGTGGCAAGAATGAAAATCCTCTTTATATAACAAAAGAAAATGAAAACCAAAACAGAACGAGGAACTCTGGCTTGCTCCCGAGTGTGTGTTCTGGTGTTCATCATTGAACAATGTTTTTCCATAAGCACATGATGATGGCTAGAAAAATAGTTTCTGAGGAGGTGATTTTCCGTAAACAGACTGTCTTCTCCAACTAGAGTCATCCTAAGCAACAGAGGACGCCTCAGAAATGTTTCTCAACCTGCGCTTTGTGACCTAGTTTTCACGTGGATTGAAGAATGTGTTCATGTAATCTCCGGAGACAGACGTGGTCTCGGAAGACCTGGCTTCATGGGCCAGTAGCAGAACCACGCGTGACCATAGCCGAGCTTGGCCTCCCACGGCCTTGGTGTCCTGCCTGTACAATGGACCCTCTGAGAAGCAGCCTTCTGGCGTCCTTTCCACCTCTGAAAGCCTGACCCTGTGGTTTCAGTCTAGCGGAAATGTCGGCCTCCTTCTGACTCTACCCCTGAGCATGTGATGGTGGGAGGTTAAAACTAGGAGCTCTACCTGCAGAATCCCTTCGTTGGGACGTATGTTGCGCATGGAAACGGTCGTTTGCTTTCCCAGGTGAGTGAGGAGCACCAGCATCTGGGCCTAACAGCTAAAGCTTCTGTGGAAACAGGCAGGAGGAGGGCTCCGAGCTGGGAGAGGCCAGCCGGAAGGTCACCTCGGACCAGGGACACACAGTGTGCCCGAATCGGTTTTGTATTTAGAAAAAAAAGTACAGTGAATCCATGATTTTATTCATAACACACTCATTGCAGATGATTCGAACTGATAGTTTTTAAATGTCTGCGAATCCCAGCCCCTCTCCAGCCTGCAGGCTGGCTCCGCTCTGAGTGGTGTGTCTGTTTGCTTTTCTGATTTCGTGCTCCACAGGTCCTGGGTGTGTCCGGCTGGGGAGCGGCAGTGACGAGGTGACTTAGTCCAGTGTACCCTACACAACAGCGTGATTTATTCCTTGGAGTAAGTGGACTGCAGTTCACGTGGCGCATTGCCAGGAGCACCTCGAATTGAGGTAAAATGGCTCTGAGGTCCTATCTAGCTCCTGACGCAGTGGCTGAGAGGTTAAATAAGACAAAGATTGATTCACCCAGCCTGGCTCTCCGTGACGGCTCCGTTAGTGATGGGTATCCTTACAGCAGAGGGAAAGCTGCTGGAAAAGGGCGGAGATATATCCCACTGTATCTGAGTGTGGGCATTTATTTTGATTAAGGGACTGTGGAAATCAGTGTTTGGATTAGGATTCTGAGAGGCTGAGGACTTCACTGGTTCATAAGTGGCCACACGGGTAATTAATGGCAGAATGGCCTTCAATCTTTTCTTCCTTTTAACTGAAAATCTACTGAAAGAGCAGAGTGTTCTAATCAGTGTCCCTTAATGACACTGACACCCATGGAAAGCCGAAACGCTTTGGCACTGCAACCACGGCCTGGACTCCATGTCCACCTGGAGGCCTCATGGCAGGTACAGGCAGGAGGCTTAGGAGGAGTGGCAGAGCACAGGGGTCTTGTAGGCTCAAACCTGTAAACCTGTAAACCTGTGTCAAAAATCATGCAGAACTTGGCCTAGCACGGTGGCTCATGCCTGTAATCCCAGCACTTTGGGAGGCTGAGGCGGCTGGATCACCCGAGGTCAGGAGTTCGAGACCAGCCTGGCCAACATGGAGAAACCCTGTCTCTACTAAAAATACAAAAATTAGCTGGGTGTGGTGGTGGGAGCCTGTAATCCCAGCTACTAGGGAGGCTGAGGCAGGAGAATCACTTGAACCTGGGAGGCGGAGGTTGCAGTAGGCTAAGGTCATGCCATTGTGCTCCAGCCTAGGCAACAAGAGGGAAACTCATCTCAAAAAAAAAAAAAAATCATGTAGAACTTGGCAATGAAGATGAAGTTGGGAAGCCTGGACTATTCACTAAGGCCGTGCCAATCACCTTTGTCAGTTGCCGATGACAAGGTGAGGGAATTAGACTTACTAACTCTAAGTAAAGGTATAGCAGAAGCTCGTGCGAGAGCAGCAGGAAGTTGGGATGCTCAAGGCTGACTGTAGCTGTTCTCTGCTGGGAAGCTGCAGGTCTTGTTCCAGGTCGGGTCTTGGCATCTTCTAGCAGATTTGGGAAGAACATGCCCAGTGATTCTGAGAAACTGTGTTGTCTTGTACCCTCTGGGGCTGGCATTTGTCCAGTGCAGAATTTCCTAAACTTGGTTCTGTTGAACGGTCTCCTGGGACCCATCACAGATGGCCTCTCCATGTCACTACCACTCACACGCAAAGGATCCTTGTGGTCACACAAGTTTGGGAACGTCATATGCCACTTACCTCCCTCAGCCTGACTGTGCTTATTCGCACACTGAAGGCTTGGGCAGTCCTGCAGCGGCGTGTTTAACTTTGGGTTACAGGAGGCTTCTCGAACTTTTCAGAGCCAGCCCTGTTTTCCGTAGCCCCACGGTGAGCGTCAGCTCTTCTGCAGACTCTACTGTGGGCAACGCTGTCAGAAGGGAATCCATAAATCCTAAAAACGTTGCTTCTCCCATAAAATCTAGTCTCTTTTTCTTTTTAGGGTATATTAGTTTCAAACAGGTGAAAGCCTGGGGTTACGTGGCATTTGATAATTTTTAATTTGTTCAATATTTTACTTTAAACAGCATATTACTTTTTATGCTCCTATCCATTTACTGGAAAAATGAAATGTCCTTGTTATTTCATAGGGGAGCACACAGTTCATTGCTTAATGAAATAAACGAATCTTTGTTAATCTATCAGAAACTACCACCCAGATGACAATAGTTCTTTTTTGTGTGTTTTTTTTTGTTTGTTTGTTTTGTTTTTTTGAGACAGAGTCTCACTCTATTGCCCAGGCTGGAGTGCAATGGCGCTATCTCTGCTCCTTGCAGCCTCCGCCTCCTGGGTTCAGGCGAGTCTTCTGCCTCAGCCTCCCCAGTAGCTGGGATTACAGGTGTCCACCACCACACTTGGTGAATTTTTGTATTTTTAGTAGAGATGGGGTTTTGCTTTGTTGGCCAGGCTGGTCTTGAACTCCTGACCTCAAGTGATCCATCCACTGCCTCGGCCTCCCACAGTGCGGGGATTACAGGTGTGAGCCACTGCATTGGGCCTGACAATGGTTTTAAGTTGACTGGAGATCTGTGTTTAGGAGCATGCTTGCAGGGGCTTGCACCGTTGCAGGCAGGGAGGGAGAGCTGGCTGGGCAGGCACTTGGAGCCCTCTGAGACGGAACAGCACACCCCCAATGTGGAGTGGATTCCGGCCTGGCCTTCCCTGCTGAGCTCCGAGGCTCCTGTCCATGGTGCAGTCTAAGGGCGCCAAAGAGTGGCTGAAGGGGCTGTCAGGGTTGATAAAGGAGGCCCAGGACCCCTCAGTGCAGAGGAAGATCTGGGACCAGAGGCAGGAGCTCTCAAGCACTGCCTCCTCCCAGCAGGTGCCCACTGCCATCTCTGCCTCCCCAGGCTCTGCGTGGAGCTGGGCACACGATTGATGAAATTAATGTGTGGATCGGATCATCAGCGCGGTGCCGTGGGTAGAAATACAACTTTTTAAGCCAGACAGTCTGGGTTTGAGCAGCCAGTTCCCCATGGTGAGACTCTGGGTGAGGTCATGGGACCATTTATAGCTGTGTTTCTGCATCTGCAGCAAGTGATAACTTCTGCCTTGCAGGTTACTGTGAGGAGGAAATGGCCTGTTACAGCCCTGGGCGTCGTGACGATGGTGCCACTGACTATGTCGCACCTCTGCAGGCTGGGCCTTGGGAGGACGTTTCCTACAATATCCTTGCTCCCTGCCGGGCCTTCTCCTGGGCAGGGACATCCCCTGGCTTTGAAATTCCTACCCTTGGTCAGGGCCTCTGGCTGCTCAGTTTATTGATTAAATATGGGATTGTTGGGCCCAGGGGAGGCAGTTGTTCAGCCCAACATGGGCCAATACCTCTTCTTTGAGTTGGAAAAGCGCTCTTGGGTTTAATTAGGGCTGACACTGAACATTACTCAGAGGCAGGCATGAGGGAGGCTAAACAGAACTGATGGCACAGCAACTACTTAACCAAAGGCAGGAAGGCCCTGGGTGTCAGGGGCTGGCGCGCCTCTCCTGGCACTGCTGATGGGCCGGGAGACCAGGCTGAGGCCACCTGTCTAGTTAGGACCATCCAGGACCTCAGCACACGTCACCTTGATTTTATTTTTAGCTGATTTCCAATTGTTTTTACATCGCCCCAGTTCTGTGTGTATTTCTAAGTGTCAGTAGGAATGACACCGCTGCTATTTTTGGAGAGCTGGGTTGGCTTTGGGCGTGACATCCTTCATCCACACAGCGGCCAGGCACAGTCGTGGCTCCTCCATTTGACAGAGGAGACTGCGGCTCCAGTACAGGTGCCAGGAAGTGGCAGAGCCAGGGCTTGACCCAGCTTGGAGGGTCATTCAGCGCCTGGAATTGACCACTGCCTGCAGCAGGAGAACGGCCTTCCCGGACGCTGTCCTCACTGGGAGCTCTGGGCTCTTCTGGTGAACAGCCGTGGTGCTGGCAGAGCCAAGGATGAGGGGGTGCCGAGGGGTCAGGGCCATGAGCCATCCACCCAGACGCCAGGGAGGAGGCAGTGGGGCTGAGTTGGCTCTCAAGGGCACTGGCCCTGGGTGAGGGGAAACCACCCTAGCCTGGGGGATGGCAAGTACCATCGAAAATGCCCATGCGCCTGGAGAGCATGGTGGGGACTTGGCCATGCCTAAAGGGGCCCCTCTCTGGGACCACTTCATGAGGCCACAGGACACCTTCAGGTGGGGTCTCAGGGAGATACCTCTCCTTTCCCTCCTGAAGTGGAGGGTGAGGGGCCGAAGCCCTGTCCATTGGCTTAGCCAGATCCTGACACTTTCCTGAGCAGAGGATGCGTGTGTGGTGTGTTTGTGACATGTGTGAATGTGATGTGTGTGGTGTATGTAGCATGTGCGCTATGTATGTGTGTGTGATGTGTGTGTAGTGTGTGATATATGTAGTGTGTGTGGGATGTGTGTTGTGTGGTTGTGTTGTGTGGTGGGTTGGAGGGGTGTGCATGCATGAATGTGATGTGTGTGGGATATGTAGTATGTATGCTATGGGTGTGTGTGTGAAGTGTGTGGTGTATGCAGTGTGTGTGGGATGTGTGTTGTGTATGTGTTGTGTTATTGTGTTTTGTGGTGGGTGTGGAGGGGTGTGCATGCATGAATGTGATATGTGTGGTGTATGTAGTATGTGTGCTGTGTGTGTGTGGTGTATGTAGTGTGTGTGGGATGTGTGTTGTGTATGTGTTGTGTTATTGTGTTTTGTGGTGGGTGTGGAGGGGTGTGCATGCATGAATGTGATATGTGTGGTATATGTAGTGTGTGTGTGTGGGGTGTATATGGAGTGTGTGTGGGATGTGTGTTGTATGTATCATGTATGGAGTGTATGTGGTATATGTTGTGTGTTGTGTATGTGTTGTATGTGTCATGGGTGTGGAGGAGTGTGCATGCATAAATATGATATGTGTGGTATATGTAGTATGTGTGCTGTGTATGTGTGTGTGGTGTATGGAGTGTATGTGGGATGTGTGTTGTGTGTATCGTGTATGGAGTGTGTGTGGGATGTGTTGTGTGTTGTGTGCGTCGTGGGTGTGGAGGGGCGTGTGTGCATGAATGTGATATGTGTGGTGTATGTAGTGTGTGTGTGTGGGGGTGTGTATGGAGTGTGTGTGGGATGTGTGTTGTGTGTGTGTGGGATGTGTTGTGTATTGTGTATGTGTTGTGTGTGAGTGGTAGGTGTGGAGGGGTGTGTGCGGGGAGTCCTCCAGGTACTACACAGAAGGTCTCAGGCCCCGAAAAGTAGCCGTGTTTGCTGTGTCCGTATTTGTTGTGCTGAGAGGCCACAGACGCTTCGGGACCCAAGCCTGCGATTATTCTAGTCAATAATCACTTTTTCCCTAGAGTTTTCCAAAGTAAAATCTTACTTTTTTTTTAACAGAGTCTCGCTCTGTCACGAGGCTGGAGTGCAGTGGCGCGATCTTGGCTCACTGCAAACTCCTCCTCCCAGGTTCAAGTGATTCTCCTGCCTCAGCCTCCAGAGTAGCTGGGACTACAAATGCACCCTGCCACACCCAGCTAATTTTTGTATTTTTAGTAGAGACAAGGTTTCACGATGTTGGTCAGGATGGTCTCAATCTCTTGACCCTGTGATTCGCCTGCCTTGGCCTCCCAAAGTGCTGGGATTACAGGTGTGAGCCACCAAATCTTACTCTTTTATATATAAAAAAAAAGGCCCCTCTGTTACTCACATTCTTTTGTGTTCTTCCCCCTCCTCTCACTAGATCAAGCTCAGAGAGTGCTCGCCGGGGCAGTGGCCGGATGCCCATGTGTGTCCCCTTCCTCAGCAGCCAGTTCCTTCCCAGACGTTGGTCATGGCGGACCCTTACCAGCCCGCATTCATTTTTGTGTACATCTTACACATACATCACTCTGTGTATTTTAGATACTGGGGAAGTTTAATCTCTTATTTGTAAAAACCCAGTATTTTCCCCACACCCTGGAGAGTTACCTTGTGCCCGCAGGGTGTCACTTCTTATTTGGGGGCCACTGGCCCAATAACTCAACTCGACTCATGTTGTTTCTTCTAACTACATCACCCTAGATTCATGTGCAATGAATTTTCACCTCCCAGCCAGCAGTAAATATAGTTAAGTCAAGTGCACATAACATATCTCAGTGCAGGCTACTCATGAAAAAACCCGCATTGAAACACCTGGCCAAATCCTTCGACATTGATGGCTTCAGAATCGAGCTCTCCAGTTCTGGGGAGTTGGCTGTCACAGAGACACCTGCAGCTCCAGGGAATGTCACATCACCACCTCTTCCTGCCCTCCCTCGGCTAAGAGGAACCCTAAGCTTTCTCCTTCCTCATTCCCTCTGCCTGGTTAACCACTGAGTCCCGATGAATTTACTACCTTGATATTCTTCAGGTGGCTCCACTGTCACCAGCATGACCTTAGTTTCAGTTGCTAGCGGGTCTAGTTTGGGCATCCAGTGCCCCGAATCCTCCATCTGTGGACAGAAATAGCTGGTTTACAAAGTCTTCTCCAAGAGCTGACATGACTTTCCAGCTGTGCTGGGGTCCCCTCTAACAGCAGAGAGGTGACTGTGAGCATTGGCAATGCAAGGAGGCCCCACAAACTCCACTGCTTTGGACAGATGACCCGGCAGCCATCAGATTTGCATCAGAGAGCTCGGTGCCAGGAAGGGACTCTTGGATGTGACCAGAGGGAGGAGGGGCCGAGGTCACCCCTCCGATGAGAGTCACGTCTCCCAGTTTGTCCCGTTCCCCCTCCATTGCGGCTGCACGATGAGTGCTGGAAGAAGAGCACACGATGGTTTCATCCCACAGACACGGACGGGGCATCTTTAATGTCCTCCCCCAGATAAAGAGTCAAGTGTTTTTGTGTTGACTGATCCTATTTGGAAGGAAGGGCTCCTTTGGGCCTGAGGCAGCACACACTGGGAGGTGGGGTGGGCACCGGCATGGGGAGCACCTGGCAGTGAGCACGCAGAGAGGTGAAGCTATTTGTTTGTGGCCACGTGGGACAAAGGCCCTACTGAGGCTACCATCTTGGGTAACCACACCAACCTGCCCTCCCTCTTCAGAGGGCAGGAAAAAGGCAACTCAGCCTCTTGTAGGCTCCGTTCTCTCTTAGGCCTGCGTTCACATCCAGCTGGAGAGAGGGTCCAATGCAGGCACCTGGTGTTTTAGGGAATCCCCAGGGTTTAAATGCAGCTCAGCACTTTCGTGTGGGTTTGCAGAATGGGGTCTTCTTGTAAGCTTTTATTTTAGGTTCGGGGGTACGTGTGAAGGTTTGTTACATAAGTAAACTCGTGTCATGGGGGTTTGTGGTACAGATTAGTTCATCTGTACCCAGGTATGAAGCTCATTACCCAACAGTTATCTCCACTGCTGCTCTCCCTCCGCCCGCCTTCCACAATGAAGTAGACCCAGTGCTGGGAGAACGGTGTGTTCACAAACGCGATGTGTGCCTGGTGGAAATTATTGCTTTCTCCCTCTCTGCTTTCCCCCACTGAAATGCTGACCTGGAAAACATCAATCTTGCTCTCACATAAAGCATTTTTTCTGGGACTGACAGTCAAAGGTCTGATGTAGAAATTGAAATTTCACACTCTGAAGGGCCCAAACGGCTCCAGAGGTCAGTGGGCAGTTGGACCCACTGGTGAGTCACGGGGAGAGATGCCACCCCGAATTAACATCAGCAGACACTTGTGCGTCAGAGGTTCTGTGCACTAAAAACGTTTGGTTGACATCTGTGCCCCCCCACCACCCCAGCACACATTCAACTCTTTTAGGCTGAGGGGCACGTCCCGCTCATCTGGTGAATACATCAGCTGAATGCAATCTGCTTTCACAAACAGATGTCCCAGGAGGGTCGGGGGCGGGCCACAGTGAACACTGGTTAGAAGTTACCGGAAGGCTTTTTATGAAGTTCTTGTTTTGTAGGGTGGGGAGTAGAATGGCCAGAGAATTTACTTCAATTGAAACACACCTAATTTGGGTGCTTGAACTAGGTATCTAAAAATATTTTTCAAGTCCTCATCCACAGGGAGAGTTTCTGTTTCCCATCTGCTTATTTTCTCAGTCGGTCTTCCTGAAAAGACCAGCAAGAAGTGGCACAGGATCAGCGTGTGACCCTGGCCAGCCCGACAGGGGAGGCCAGGCCCATGGCTCCCGGGATGCTCTGAGGGATCTCACCCCACGCAGGCGCACGGAGCCACTGCAGCCCTTGTGGACGGAGAACGCTGCCACGTGGCATGGCGGCTGCCTGCTTCTTCCTGCCTGTTGGTTCCTTTTTGTTTCAGGCCTGCAGGTGTAATGGCTACACTGTGAGCAATGCACACAGCAGTGGCATGTGGTGACAACGGCCAGGCTGTGGTTGTGGTGATTTGTTACTGAGCAAAAAAAAAACCCCAAAGACATCTGCTCCCCGGCAGAGGCAGCCAATGGCAGCCTGGACGCTTTATTGCTCACATTCTTTCTGTGTTAGTAACTTTCCCCTCCTTTCTGCGAATCTCAGATGCCTCAGAGGGATGTTTAAATTGCTATTGGATCCCAGGAGACACTGCTATTTCCTAGTCAGTGTTTCCCTGCCTTGCATTACTCCCATGCAAAGCATCTCCCTCCAGGAGCGCCCAGCTGAGCCCTATGACTGTCATTATCCATGCAGATGTGCGGCAGAACAAGTGACTCAAGCCCCAGCCCTCCATGGGGTCTCTATCGGGTTAGAGCTCTCAGAAAGCACAGTATTGGGACCTGGAATGAGCAATATCCCACGGCTGAGAAGGGACAAATGGCACCGGCTTGGAGATGATGGGGAATGCCAAGGAGGCAAAGTGACACAGAATTAGAGAGAGATCACAAAGGCTTCTTCAGATCTCAATCCCAGCCTTGACTCCAACAAGCTCTGTGGGCCCTAGCAGGTGCTTTCACTCCCTTAGCTTGTTTAGATGGAGGGGGTGGGACTCCACCACTTCCCAGGCCCCTCCAACTTTCCTGGTGTAATTCTGTGGTCTTTGAGAGCTTGCATTCCAGAAGCTGAGGAATGCTTCCACAAGGAAATGCCCAGAAGACCAACGAAACCACCAAGAACGCCTCATCCAGAAAGAACGATGTGGTGGCCGAGCCCTGGGGTGCCCTGGTCTCTGCCTCCTGATACTCACGCTCTTGTGTGATCTCCTCTGCTGGGGTGTGAGGGTAATCTGCAGCTGGCTTCTGATCAACAGAAGATGGCACAGGATAAGAGGTGTCTTCCTTTCATTTCATTATATGAGACTCTGTCATAGCTGACTTCTGGGAGAAGCTCGCTTGCTGGCCGTGAAGAAGGAAGCCGCCATATTGTGTGACATCTATGGAGAAGGCCACATGGCACAGAGCCATGCCCATCCTCCAGGAGCCGTGCCCACACTCCTAGCCCAAAGGAACCAGGAGACACCAAATGCGTGTTGTTTAATGCCATTGAGGTTGTGGTGATTTCTTACTCAGCAAAAACAAAACAAAACACCCCAAAAAGCAACAATAACAACAAACCACTGATCCAATGGATGCTTGGTCATGCCCAGAGTGGCCCTAGCTCAGTGGTAGCCTGGGTAGACAGCCACTCTCTCGGGTGCACTGCAGGAGGCTCACGCTGTTCAGATGGAACAGGACATCACCTAAACTCCTGCCATGTTGAAGGCAAGGTGGAGAGATGGGAGCAAAAGAGTGACAGTTCCCACAGGACACGTAAGCCAGAGGACTGGCTATTGTATTGGCCAGAAGTGGGGACCACGATGACTGCTCCTGGGGCAGTGAGGGCAGCCCGCTCCTTGGGCAAGCCCTGAAGTGGAGGGGGTCAGGGGTGGCCCACATCAGCCACACAGTGGCAACAACAGCCTGGGGATCAGACAAGGGGACAAGGCTTGTTGGAGCAGTGACTGCAGGAGCGTTCTGGGACACCAGGAGTAAGGGACAAGGGCAGGAAGACGGAGCTGCCTGGAATCAAGGTGGACACTTGGAGTGCAAGTGCTGAGGCTGGAACACAGAATGGCCTTTGCACCCAGCCGCAGGACCAGGGACACCCAGGATCCCCACATCATGGGTGGGAGAAGTGTCTTTAGGTGGGTGACCCAAGTCCCATCAGCGAGAGCCAAAGTCCAGTCGTGTCCAGTGGGGCAAGAGGAAAACCAAGATGATCGTCAGAGAGCACTCCAGACTCTCCAAGTGAGAATGGATTGGAAAGATGCTGACCGCCCATGGGTCATTCTGCTTCTGGCCCTGCCCATGTGCGCAGGCAGCCGAGAAGCCAGGGCAGCGCCCTTGACAGGTCCACAGGGGACACGGTAGCCTTGCGGGGCGGTTTGTTTCCCAGGTGAGCTTCGTGTGAGCAACGGTGGACGAGACGCTGCCTGATGGCTGTGGTGCTTTAATTTCTATGTCAAAATTTCTCAAATCTACAGACACGTCTGCGTGAGAGGGGTGTTGGCGCGGGCGCTCTACCTGCATGCAGTGCCTCACGGAGGTGTCTTGTCGTGATTTGCGGAATCGCGTCATCTGTCTGTGTGTTTGTCCCAGGCGTGAGCCCACATCGCTGTGGGTAGTTAAGCCTGGCCTGCCTCTGCTCCTCCTGTGTTCTAAGAAAAGCAGAGCCTGCAAGGCTGGAGTTCACTTTTCTCCACGTAAGCTTCCAAATACATTTAAGTCAGTCAATATTAACAAAAATGGAAAAAAAAAACCACCAAAGGATCTTTTTGTGGTCTAATTTGCATTCTTCAGCCTTTCACCTATACCGCCCTGTGTGAGCCCCTCGCTAGCCTGGTGGGCCGGTCTTATCCTGGGAGACCAGAACCCGAGGCTCAGACCGGTAACTTGCCCAGAGTCTCAGAGGTTGGCAGCGGCACCCCCAGGATGCCCTCTGCAGCCCAGCGTGTTTTGGTTCGTTTGGGGGCCCACGTACTGCTTTATGGTCAAGCTGCGTGGCATGGATGAAAATACACGTCTCACTTGGCATTCTGCATGACACGGCCACAGAAACAGCGAGACTGACTGTAGAAGACTGTGGGAATCTGTCCCCTGAGCCCGTTCTTTTGTCCTGACAACTGTCACTTGGACACGTGACAGCCGCGTGATGTGAGTAAATGTGATGTAGGCAGCGCTTGATTGACAGGCTCGATGATCTGCAGCTGGCGCTCCCTGCCTCGGTGGCCTTTGAAAGTCTTCTGCCTTGGGAGGGCTGACCCTCCACGAAGGAGGAGCGGCTGTGAAACACCAGGAGACAGCACCGGTGCTGTGCGTCAGGGACCACGAAGACGGCACGCTTCCTCTGGGGTGTCTGGTGTGCCGCAGGCACCCCGATGCGATGTGTTGATTCATGTGAGCAAAGGGGTTTCTAGCTCAGCCAGGTGACATTTGATGCATGTGGGATCCAGGACGTGGCCCCCTCCTGGGTGTAAGACTTGCTTCCACCTGAGGGCAGGGCTGTCTGGCAGATCCCAGGGAAGGGGCTGGGCGCATCCTCTACATGTTGGCTTCACTCTGGGTTGGTGAGAAATGGGATTTGTGGTCACAAGGCTGAAAGAAAGGCCCCTGTGAGAGGCTGTGGCTGCAGATACATCACAGCCTGAAGCCAGGTGCTGCTCGGGGCCCCAGGAGCCTTCAGCCAGAGCGGCGTTGACGAGGGGTCTTGACGGCTGTGTTCCATGGCAAGTCCATGCACAGGTGTGGCGTCGCTCGTGCCGCACAGCCAGGGAAGCTGTTCAGCCGCTTGGCACCTCAGTCCTCGTCTCACCTGAGGCAACTCACCAGCTCCAGTGCTTCCAGAATGGCTATGCTGTGACACTCTGTAGATGAGGAAGAGGGGCCCAGAGATGGAAGGAAACTGTATCGCCAGGTGGCTTGAGCAAGAAAAGAAACATTTCCGTCCCCACTGGAAGGACCACTTTCCCGTTCTTTTGAGAAGCTCTGAGCATAGTCGGAACAGTTCAGAGCTGCCTCTGGACTACCTGCTTTTCCTTGCCTGAGGCCTCTGGCACATCTCCCCTTTGAGGCTCAAAGTTTCTACACTTGATCTGACTCAGAGGTGAATCTTCTTCAATTTTCTGTTTGTCTGAATGAGATGTGCTCAGCTTCGTGGTGCTATTGAGAATAAGAACAAAGCATCTCTTTGTCTTCAGAGCACTTGCCCTGGCAGCTCTTGACAGCTCGGGCTCTGAATGAACGTTCCCAATACTTCGTTTGTTATTAAAGTGGAATTCTTGGTCCATCTCCACACTGAATCTAATGCTTGTGGAAAGATTCATCTTAGCCCACCTGTAGAACTTGGTTTATACGCAAGAGACCTTGAGACTCTTTGAATTCGAATGTTGGAAGCCTTCAAAATGCAAGAAAAATGTCAGGACATTCTTTTTTTTTTTTGAGATGGAGTGTTGCTCTTGTCGCCCAGGCTGGAGTGCAATGGGGTAACCTCAGCTCGCTGCCACCTCTGCCTCCCAGGTTCAAGCGATTCTGCCTTCTCAGCCTCCGGAGTAGTTGGGATTACACGCAGCCACCACGATACCTGGCGAATTTTTTTGTATTTTTAGTAGAGATGGGGTTCCACCATGTTGTCCAGGCTGGTCTCAAACCCCTGACCTCAAGTGATCCACCCGCCTCGGCCTCCTGAAGTGCTGGGATTATGCCACTGTGCCCAGCCAAAGTCAGTACATTCTGTTTTTCGGAGAAAGAGGAAAAGCATGAGGAATCCAATTTATCTTGAGGGTTCATGAAAAGAAAGACACTCCGATACCCTGAGTCTGACGTCTACTCTCAGCTGTCTGTTTGATGCTGCTGGAATGTTTCTTTCCTCAGTCCTTTGGGACCACTCAAAATAAGTGATTATAAAATCAATCCTTTCCTTCACAAATTAAGGCAGAGAAGTGAACTAAAGTATTTTAAATGAGAAAGTTGAAAAAAAAAAGTTTTCTGGATAGCTCCACTTTTCTAGAAAATTCTATCAATCTGTGACCTCCATGTCCCTGACGCTGAGATTTCTGGCACCTTTGTCTCAGCTTTCTGTCTGTCTGTGGTTGGCTTACAGCCCTGAACCTAAGGTTAGCAGCAGACCTAGAATTTAAAACTAGAGCTTGTTTTTAAAACTCAGGCACGGAAGCTCGCCCTCGTACCTCAGCCTTCCTCAGGAAGGGATTCTCATTGTCTTCCTGAGCATCTGAGGTCTCTCTGGTGATTCACAGGATACTCTTGGCTTCCCTACTAGACTGGTCAGCTCTGGTGCTTAGAACTGGATGGGCTGCCCTTAAGCCTTGCCTGGGATGGAGTGCAGGGGACAGGCACCCCTGATGCCCAGGAGCCCGTCCCTCGGGTCACCTTCCAGATGCAGCACCCCAACGAAACACCATGAAGACGAATGTTTCCTGTGGTCGTCCCGCTTCTGGTAGGTCACGTCGTGCCAAGTACTGAGTAGAAAAATAGTTTTTCAACACATATGCCCTGTAAAAAATTCTCAGGAAAGAAGAACACATGGAACATCTTAGAAAATTAATTAATCCACCTCAAGTCCTCTTCCTCCAATGCCTACGAGAGCTAATTGCTGAGAGAGAAAACGCTGAGAGCCAATTGCTGAGAGTCAGGCGAATGCACATGCCGAAGATATAAACCAGCAGGGGACGACTTTGGGGAACATTTTTAAAACAAAGCATATTCCGATGCGTTTGAATTGTGCATTGGTGAGGAGATTCAGACTTTCCACCACTGGAGCAGCCACGGCTGCTGTGTGTGTTTAAGGGCAACACACATGTTTCAAGGATTTTGTTTTGTATATTTGTTTTCCCTACAGAGCTGGGATTTGCAAGGCAAACATGCCTCTTACTTTAGAGGAATGGGCTTTGAAGACGGAGAAATAAAACACCAAAATCACGTAACATTTATGAACGTAATTTCTTTCTGATTTCATGATAATTTTAATTAAAATGAGAGGAACCCATGAGATGATTATATGTCTGGTGAGCAGAAAGTCCTGAGCAACTCTCCCTCTTGAGGAAGGCTGAGGTATGAGGGCGAGCTTCCATGCCTGAGTTTTAAAAACAAGCTCTAGTTTTAAATTCTAGGTCTGCTGCTAACCAGCTGTAGATGTTGGGAAGTCATCCTCTTCATCGGCAAACGCTTAAAAGGAATACTTGCTTACAGGGTTTTTGCACTTTGAAATCCAGCTATGCAACTCATTATTTCTTTCAGCTGTGGCCACATTCAGGATCCCAGGGTGTACTAAAATCTCTTTGAAAATCAGAAAGCAAAGAGGAAGGAAGAAACATTGCCGTTTCCCTGTTCCCAGCGTGGTCGAAGGATGCCGAGTGATGGAAAGTTACATTGATTAATGCGATTCCTGTGCGCTCTCCGATCTGCCAGATTCTACATAAACTCTTTCCCTACCCAGTCTTTGTGATTCGTGCTTTCTCTGTTTTTTTTTTTTTTTTAATTTTTTTATTGGATTATAGGTTTTGGGGTACATGAGCAGAGCATGCAAGACAGTTGCATAGGTACACACATGGCAGTGTGCTTTGCTTTTCTTCTCCCCTTCACCCACATTTGGCATCTCTCCCCAGGCTATCCCTCCCCACCTCCTCCTCCCACTGGCCCTCCCCTTTTCCCCCCAATAGACCCCAGTGTTTAGTATTCCCCTTTCTGTGTCCATGTGTTCTCATTTTTCATCACCCACCTATGAGTGAGAATATGCGGTGTTTCATTTTCTGTTCTTGTGTCAGTTTGCTGAGGATGACGTTCTCCAGATTCATCCATGTCCCTACAAACGACACAAACTCATCATTTCTGATTGCTGCATAATATTCCATGGTGTATATGTGCCACATTTTTCCAATCCAGTCTATTATCAATGGGCATTTGGGTTGATTCCAGGTCTTTGCTATTGTAAACAGTGCTGCAATGAACATTCGTGTACATGTGTCCTTATAGTAGAACGATTTATAGTCTTTTGGATATATACCCAGTAATGGGATTGCTGGGTCAAATGGAATTTCTATTTCTAAGGCCTTGAGGAATCGCCACACTGTCTTCCACAATGGTTGAACTAATTTACACTCCCACCAACAGTGTAAAAGTGTTCCTTTTTCTCCACATCCTCTCCAGCATCTGTTGTCTCCAGATTTTTTAATGATCGCCATTCTAACTGGCGTGAGATGGTATCACAATGTGGTTTTGATTTGCATCTCTCTGATGAGCAGTGACGATGAGCATTTTTTCATATGATTGTTGGCCTCATATATGTCTTCTTTCGTAAAGTATCTGTTCATATCCTTTGCCCACTTTTGAATGGGCTTGTTTGTTTTTTTCCTGTAAATCTGTTTGAGTTCTTTGTAAATTCTGGATATCAGCCCTTTGTCAGATGGGTAGACTGCGAAAATTTTTTCCCATTCTGTTGGTTGCCAATCCACTCTAGTGACTGTTTCTTTTGCCGTGCAGAAGCTGTGGAGTTTGATTAGGTCCCATTTGTCTGTTTTGGCTTTTGTTGCCAATGCTTTTGGTGTTTTGTTCATGAAGTCCTTGCCTACTCCTATGTCCTGGATAGTTTTGCCTAGATTTCCTTCTAGGGTTTTTATGGTGCCAGGTCTTATGTTTAGGTCTTTAATCCATCTGGAGTTAATTTTAGTGTAAGGTGTCAGGAAGGGGTCCAGTTTCTGCTTTCTGCACATGGCTAGCCAGTTTTCCCAACACCATTTGTTAAACATGGAATCCTTTCCCCATTGCTTGTTTTTGTCAGGTTTATCAAAGATTGTATAGTTGTATGTATGTTGTGTTGCCTCCGGTGCCTCTGTTTTGTTCCATTGGTCTATATCTCTGTTTTGGTACCAGTACCATGCTGTTTTGATTACTGTAGCCTTGTAGTATAGTTTGAAATCTGGTAGTGTGATGCCCCCCGCTGTGTTCTTTTTGCTTAGAATTGACTTGGCTATGCAGGCTCTCTTTTGGTTCCATATGAAGTTCATGGTGGTTTTTTCCAGTTCTGTGAAGAAAGTCAATGGTAGCTTGATGGGGATAGCGTTGGTTCTGTAAATTACTTTGGGCAGTATAGCCATTTTCACGATATTAATTCTTCCTAACCATGAACATGGAATGTTTCTCCATCTGTTTGTGTCCTCTCTGATTTCGTTGAGCAGTGGTTTGTAGTTCTCCTTGAAGAGGTCCCTTACGTTCCTTGTCAGTTGTATTCCTAGGTATTTTATTCTTTTTGTAGCAATTGCGAATGGCAGTTCGCTCTTGATTTGGCTTTCTTTAAGTCTGTTATTGGTATATAGGAATGCTTGTGATTTTTGCACATTGATTTTATATCCTGAGACTTTGCTGAAGTTGTTTATCAGTTTCAGGAGTTTTTGGGCTGAGGCAATGGGGTCTTCTAGGTATACTATCATGTCGTCTGCAAATAGAGACAATTTGGCTTCCACCTTTCCTATTTGAATACCCTTTATTTCTTTTTCTTGCCTGATTGCTCTGGCTAGAACTTCCAGTACTATATTGAATAGGAGTGGTGAGAGAGGGCATCCTTGTCTAGTGCCAGATTTCAAAGGGAATGCTTCCAGTTTTTGCCCATTCAGTATGATATTGGCTGTTGGTTTGTCATAGATAGCTTTTATTACTTTGAGATACATTCCATCGATACCGAGTTTATTGAGGGTTTTTAGCATAAAGGGCTGTTGAATTTTGTCAAATGCCTTCTCTGCGTCAATTGAGATAATCATGTGGTTTTTGTTTTTGGTTCTGTTTATGTGGTGAATTACGTTGATAGACTTGCGTATGTTGAACCAGCCTTGCATCCCCGGGATGAATCCTACTTGATCATGATGAATAAGTTTTTTGATTTGCTGTTGCAATCGGCTTGCCAATATTTTATTGAAGATTTTTGCATCTATGTTCATCATGGATATTGGCCTGAAGTTTTCTTTTCTCGTTGGGTCTCTGCCAGGTTTTGGTATCAGGATGATGTTGGTCTCATAAAATGATTTGGGAAGGATTCCCTCTTTTTGGATTGTTTGAAATAGTTTTAGAAGGAATGGTACCAGCTCCTCCTTGTGTGTCTGGTAGAATTCGGCTGTGAACCCGTCTGGACCTGGGCTTTTTTTGTGAGGTAGGCTCTTAATTGCTGCCTCGACTTCAGACCTTGTTATTGGTCTATTCATAGTTTCAGCTTCCTCCTGGTTTAGGCTTGGGAGGACACAGGAGTCCAGGAATTTATCCATTTCTTCCAGGTTTACTAGTTTATGCGCATATAGTTGTTTGTAATATTCTCTGATGATGGTTTGAATTTCTGTGGAATCTGTGGTGATTTACCCTTTATCATTTTTTATTGCATCTATTTGGTTGTTCTCTCTTTTATTTTTAATCAATCTGGCTAGTGGTCTGTCTATTTTGTTGATCTTTTCAAAAAACCAGCTCTTGGATTTATTGATTTTTTGAAGGGTTTTTCGTGTCTCAATCTCCTTCAGCTCAGCTCTGATCTTAGTAATTTCTTGTCTTCTGCTGGGTTTTGAGTTTTTTTGATCTTGCTCCTCTAGCTCTTTCAATTTTGACGATAGGGTGTCAATTTTGGATCTCTCCATTCTCCTCATATGGGCACTTATTGCTATACACTTTCCTCTAGAGACTGCTTTAAATGTGTCCCAGAGGTTCTGGCACGTTGTGTCTTCCTTCTCATTGGTTTCGAAGAACTTCTTTATTTCTGCCTTCATTTCGTTGTTTACCCAGTCAACATTCAAGAGCCAGTTGTTCAGTTTCCATGAAGCTGTGCGGTTCTGGGTCGGTTTCTGAATTCTGAGTTCTAACTTGATTGCACTATGGTCTGAGAGGCTGTTTGTTATGATTTCAGTTGTTTTGCATTTGTTGAGCAGTGCTTTACTTCCAATTATGTGGTCAGTTTTAGAGTAGGTGTGATGTGGTGCTGAGAAGAATGTGTATTCTGTGGATTTGGGGTGGAGAGTTCTGTAAATGTCCACCAGTTTTGCTTGCTCCAGGTCTGAGTTCAAGCCCTGGATATCCTTGTTTATTTTCTGTCTGGTTGATCTGTCTAGTATTGACAGTGGAGTGTTAAAGTCTCCCACTATTATTGTGTGGGAGTCTAAGTCCTTTTGTAAGTCATTAAGAACTTGCCTTATGTATCTGGGTGCTCCTGTGTTGGGTCCATATATGTTTAGGATCGTTAGCTCTTCTTGTTGTATCGATCCTTTTACCATTATGTAATGGCCTTCTTTGTCTCTTTCGATCTTTGTTGCTTTAAAGTCTATTTTATCAGAGATGAGAATTGCAACTCCTGCTTTTTTTTGCTTTCCATTAGCTTGGTAAATCTTCCTCCATCCCTTTATTTTGAGCCTTTGTGTATCCTTGCATGTGAGATGGGTTTCCTGGATACAGCACACTGATGGGTTTTGGATTTTTATCCAATTTGCCAGTCTGTGTCTTTTGATGGGTGCATTTAGTCCATTTACATTTAGGGTTAATATTGTTATGTGTGAATTTGATACTGCCATTTTGATGCTAAGTGGCTGTTTTGCCTGTTAGTTGTTGTAGATTCTTCATTATGTTGACGCTCTTTAGCATTCAGTGTGATTTTGGAATGGCTGGTACTGATTGATCCTTTCTATGTGTAGTGCCTCTTTTAGGAGCTCTTGTAAAGCAGGCCTGGTGGTGACAAAATCTCTGAGTACTTGCTTGTTCGCAAAGGATTTTATTCTTCCTTCACTTCTGAAGCTCAGTTTGGCTGGATATGAAATTCTGGGTTGAAAGTTCTTTTCTTTAAGAATGTTGAATATTGGCCCCCACTCTCTTCTGGCTTGTAGTGTTTCTGCCGAGAGATCTGCTGTGAGTCTGATGGGCTTCCCTTTGTGGGTGACCCGACCTTTCTCTCTGGCTGCCCTTAGTATTCTCTCCTTTATTTCAACCCTTTTGAATCTGACGATTATGTGCCTTGGGGTTGCTCTTCTTGCGGAATATCTCTGTGGTGTTCTCTGTATTTCCTGCAATTGAGTGTTGGCCTGTCTTGCTAGGTGGGGGAAATTTTCCTGGATGATGTCCTGAAGAGTATTTTCCAGCTTGGATTCATTCTCTTCGTCCCCTTCTGGTACACCTATCAAACGTAGGTTAGGTCTTTTCACATAGTCCCACATTCCTTGGAGACTTTGTTCATTCCTTTTTGCGCTTTTTTCTCTGATCTTGGTTTCTCGTTTTATTTCATTAAGTTGGTCTTTGACTTCAGATATTCTTTCTTCGGCTTGGTCAATTCGGCTATTGAAACTTGTGTTTGCTTCGCGAAGTTCTCGTATTGTGTTTTTCAGCTCCTTTAATTCATTCATATTCCTCTCTAAGGTATCCATTCTTGTTATCATTTCCTCGAATCTTTTTTCAAATCTTTTTTCAAGGTTCTTAGTTTCTTTGCATTGATTTAATACATGATCTTTTAGCTCACAAAAGTTTCTCATTATCCATCTTCTGAAGTCTAATTCCGTCATTTCGTCACAGTCATTCTCCGTCCAGCTTTGCTCCCTTGCTGGTGAGGAGTTTTGGTCCTTTCTAGGAGGCGAGGTGTTCTGGTTTCGGGTGTTTTCCTCCTTTTTGCGCTGGTTTCTTCCCATCTTTGTGGATTTGTCCGCTGGTCGTCTGCGTAGTTGCTGACTTTTCGTTTGGGTCTCTGAGTGGACACCCAGAATGTTGATGATGAAGTATTTCTGTTGCTTGGTTTTCCTTCTACCAGTCTAGTCCCTTCGCTGTACTACTGCTGAGGTCCACTCCAGGCCCTGCTTGTCTGGGGTGCACCTCTAGTAGCTGTGGCACAGCGAGGGATGCTACCAGTTTCTTTTTCTGCTCTCTTTGTCCCAGGATGATGCCTGCTTAATGTCAGTCTTTTGGATATAGAGGGGTCAGGGAGCTGCTTGAGGAGACAGTTTGTACTTTATAGGGGTTTAATTGCTGAGCTGTGCACTCTGTTGTTCATTCAGGGCTGTTAGGCTGCTATGTTTGATTCTGCTGCAACAGAGCTCACTAAAAAACCCCTTTTTTTTTTCTCAAATGCTCTGTGTTGAGAGGTTTGGGCTTTATTTTTGGATGTCCGATCAGGTGTCCTGCCCAGCTAGAAGGCAGACTAGCCACTGTTTGGCTGCCGAGGCTCCGCCCTGCTGTTGTGTGATTCGCGCTGTTCCTGCAGGCTCTGCTGTGGTCTCCGCCACGCCCTGCAGCAGAGTCTCTTCATTGTAGCGTGTTGCCTCAGCAACGGCAGGCTGCGTCAGCAGTGGGCGTGTATCTCAGTAGGGACGGGTTGCCTCGGCAACGGCTGGCTGCGTCAGCAGTGGGCGTGTATCTCAGTTGGGGCGGGTTGCCTCGGTAGTGGTGGACGCCCCTCCCCCACAGAGCGTCTCGGACCGTCTGCTCGGGATAGTTTGAAATCACGGTTTTGTTCGTCCCACTGGGTATCCCAATCCCTGCAATCCCCTGGGCTGGCCTACTGTCCAAGTCTCGTTCAGTCTCAAGTCCAGCCCTCTCAAGTCTCAGGTTGCCGGTTCAACAGGGCACCCGGACAAGCGCGCCCTGTGGGGATTGCTGGGTAGGGCCGGCCGCCGCCGCCCCGGCTGCCGGCTTCACCAGGCAGACCTACTGCCTGGCGTCCCGTGTCTTTTTTATACTTGGGAGTTTCCCCGTTCTGTGGGCAACAAAGATCAGTCTGGAAATGCCGCTCTGACTCACCGTTTGCGGATTCAACGAGAAGAGCTCCAATCCTGGGTTGTTCTCACAGCGCCATCTTGAGTCCTCCTCCGCTTTCTCTGTTTTTTGGTAGACATTTCTGCGTTTGCGGAGCTTTCTCTTTATACGGTTTGACTTTACACTAAGACTTTCTTACAACACCATTTGTATTGTATGAAGGTCTCGCCGTGAGAAAAAAAAGCACATCTGTTAACTGACCGGGGAGCGTTTACTATAATTATTAACTAGTAAAAGAGGTGAACTCCCAATAGTTGAGAGCACACAGGACAGCGGTGCAGGGAGCAGCACCACCTCTCGGGTTGAGACACGGCCCTAGGGAAGGAACATATTGAGAACAAGCACCCGACCCCATGGCCCCCTGGAAAAGGATGTGGCCCAGAGCCACTGAATATTCTGTTCCTTAGAGATCAAATTGAAACATAACCTGCATCAACTTTCCTGTAAAAATATACTGGTAGGACCAGGTGCCGTGGCTCATGCCGGTAGTCCCAGCATTTTGGGAGGCCAAGGCAGTCTCCCTCCGTTAGGCACCTCAGCCCCGCCCGCGCATCCCTTCACCGTTAAGTATTCCCACCGGGCCATTTCACAATTGTTGGCTAAATCAATATTTGGCATTTTCTATTACCATCATGGAAATATTTTTTCACAATTAAGGCATGTATTGTACCAAAAGCATATAACCGTTTTTTTCTGGGAGGTCAACCGCCTTGATTTCCCTGAAACTTTCCTTCCTCTGGCAACAGTGGGGAGCTGCTGTGTCCCCAGGGCTAGCTAGGGCCCATGGGGAGGGGCCTCCTGGCAGAAGCTGCAGCACGGGTGGGTGTGGGGGAAACACCGGCCTCTCCATCCACACTTCTGCTCCTGCCACACCTTCCCCAAGCAGAACCCAAGGACAGCAGCCCCCAGAAAATGTGGGTGGGGGGGACCAACAGGGTAGATCAGCTGGAGAATGTGCAGTGTCCTCAGCACCCCAGGCCTCCGAATCCATTCCTGTCCTTTGTTCAGATGGAGAAACTCCCAGCCCCTCCCAGGAGACACCAAGGCTCACTGGCCACCCCATCACTGTGGGATGATGTCAGGCTGTTATGCCTCTGACCAAACCTGACACCTGGTACCACTGGTGCCCTTCATGTAGGATGTATCAAAGAATGGAATGAAAGAAAAAACATGTAATGCATGCCTTGCCGCTCCAGCCACCCTTCCGCACTGTCCTGCCCCGCATAGCTGGCCATCCTCCTCTGAGAGCTAGGCAGCCCCCTACCCCCTAACCCTCCTCTAGCTCCCACCATAGCTGGCGGGAGATCATCATAGCTCCCTCCTTCCATCACTTGCTCCTGGGAGCCTGAGACCGCCACTCACAGCCCCAGACCCCCCTGAGGTGCAATCTCTGCCTTCTGTCTCTGTGGCCTCTCATGGTCAATGTGTTGTGCCCTGAGGGTGGGCAGTGCCAGGAGAGGTCTGCCCAGCAGAATGTGTTATCACTGCCATGGTGTGGAGCTGCCATCCCATGGGCAAAGTACAAAGCAGACCATGTCAGTTTTATTATGATGCTAAATTATCTGCCAAAAAACACTCCCTTGTTGTGCACATCCAGCATGGGAAACTCCCACCGTCCCTGCCCCCATCCATCCCTGATGACAATTGGACTCGCCTGGCCTCTGGGGTGAAGCTCCCATTAGTGAGGCCCCCATTGTTGGAGTGATCAAGCCCGACTGCCTCACCCTATTTGCTGCCACCTGCATGCCGGCCCATGCCAACTCGATGACAATCAGGGTGATGACCCCACTGCCTGCGCAGGTTTCCTGGACCCCATTTTCCCCCGTAAAGGGTCTTCTGTGCCTTCATCGAGGATCTGAGTAGGCTGGCTCCAGAAGCCCGTTTTGAGGGTCTCTTTTTGGATGCTTCCAGCTAGTTCCCAGAAGAAATCAGAATTCATGTCTGCCTTAGTCTGTTTTGTGTTGCTACAGACAGACACCTGAGGCAGATTAAAAAAAGAGGTTTATTTGGCTCACGTTTCTGCAGGCTGTATGAGAAGCATGGTGCCAGTATCTGCTTCTGGTGAGGCCTCAGGCTGCTTCTACTCACGGCAGAACACCCAGGAGAGTGAGAGAGTGCCGATGTCACACCACAGGACGCAAGAGGAGAGGAGGAGCCAGGGTCTTTCTAACGCCAGTTCTCACCAGAACTAAGTGTGAGCTCACGTGTTCCTACAGGGAAGGCATGAAGCCATTCATGAGGGATCCCCTCCCATGACCTGGACAACTTCCCTAGGCCCCATCTCCAACACTGGGGATGAATTTCCATGAGACTTGGTGGAGTCAAACCAACCTTATCCAAACCATAGTAGCCCCCAGAGGTTCAAATGCGGAGACTCTGATGACACAGTCACTGGAGAGGCATGGGCAGTGTCACAGGACCAGCAGGCTGGGGCACAACCTTGACTAGCAACAGCGGGAAGCTGTTCTCATCCCAGGGCCACAACACAGGGCCAGGGACTAGGGAGAGTGCTCAGCCTTGAAGAACTGCAGCCCTGTGGGGGGCAGGGCCCCTCTGCTCCTGCCTTGGCTTCCCCTCATGGCTCCCTGTGGTGAGTCTAACCTGAATGGAGCCCATGGTGGAGAAGAACCAGCACAGCTGCTGTGTGAAGGAGCCTCAGCTTTACCTTCTGGGCAGCAGGGAGCCTGGGAGAGACACAGTCAGCTCAGTTATGGGAAACCTGTGATGACCCTGGGGTCGCCTAGATGCAGGGGAGCAGTCAGGAGACACCACCAGTGTAAACGGTGGAGTTCACTTTCTGAGCCCTGGCTGTGGTCCAGGACCCCACAGTGAGGTGGCTGTGCAGGGCCCATCACCATCTGCCATTCACGGGCAGGGAAGCTGAGAGGTTAAGGTAGTGACTTAGCCCAGGATTGTCCTGATTTATGCCAATATCCTGATGTTACTATTGATGGGGCCCTTCTTCCTTTTTGAAAGTGATTCATTTAGAAGATACATGATGGGATCTCCCAGGTTACCAATCCAACAGCGGTGGTGTGGGGATTCTCACCTGGCTGAAGTTTGGGCAGTGGCGACAGTGTGGAGGAAAGGAATGAGCTTTGAGATGTGGATCTTGATAGAAGGTGGAGGTCATGTGCTGGAGGCTGGGGGAAGGGAAGAGCGCAGAAGGAGCAGGCCCTGTTGGGAGAGGATGAGCTGTCCAGGGCATATTTACCTGTTCATGGTCCCAGCAGGTGGAAGATCACCTGCTGTGAATGGGCAGGCTGGTCCTGTGGTCCATGCTGCCACGGGCTGCCTCTGTGACTATGGCATGTCACTGGTCCTGTGGCCCATGCTGTCATGGACTGCTTCTGAGAATGGTGTGTCACTGGTCCTGTGGCCCATGCTGCCATGACTGCTTCTGAGAATGGTGTGTCACTGGTCCCATGGCCCATGCTGCCATGGGCTGCCTCTGTGACTATGGTGTGTCACTGGTCTCCTGTGGTTCATGCTGCCACACAACGAGGTAGCCCGTGGCAGTGTGGACTGCAGAACCAGTGACCTTACATGACAAAGGGAGGCTGTAGATGTGATTCGCTTAGGGCTCTTGAAATGAGAGATTATCCTGGGTTACTCAGGTGGCCCAGTGTCATCCAAGGGTCCTTGAAAGTGGAGAGAGAGAACAATGGGAGAAGAGGAACGTCACATGATGTGAAGTGGGAGCCTTCAGCGCCATGCTG